CAACCCCAACCAACCCACCCACCCCAACCAACCCCAACCAACCCAAACCAACCCGACCCAGCCAGCCCCAACCAACCCGCCGTGTCGTTAATACCCGCCACGGCCAATTAGATTATGGGGTTTGTGTCACGTAAACAGAACGTGGTCGATTCGTTACTAGTACAGCACTAACCGGTTACTGTGTGTTGGAGAGTTAAACCCACTACTACATTTACAATTCGTTAGTAATACAGCACTAACCGGTTGCTGTGTGTTGGAGAGTTAAACCCACTACTACATTTACAATTCGTTACTAGTACAGCACTAACCGGTTGCTGTGTGTTGGAGAGTTAAACCCACTACGACATTAACAATTCGTTACTAATGCAGCACTAACCGGTTGCTGTGTGTTGGAGAGTTAAACCCACTAGGACATTAACAATTCGTTACTAGTACAGCACTAACCGGTTGCTGTGTGTTGGAGAGTTAAACCCACTACAACATTTACAATTCGTTACTAGTACAGCACTAACCGGTTGCTGTGTTTGAGAGCAAATCCACAACATTTACAATCTGAGTTACGACGTTTCGCCAGTAATTACAACAGGCATCATCAGGCGGACAGCCAGATTTGTGGATGTGATGGCCGCACATCTAACGCAACCGGTTAGTGCAGCACGAGTGTCGTGGCACAGAAGAAGTAACGTAGCAGCATCATAGCGCTGGCTGCTGGCGGGGAAGGGGATCTACGGCTTGCAGCAGCTCTGACGTCAGCAGGCCACGTGATACACCAGAGGGGGGTCTAGGGGGGGAAAGGTCACAGAAGGGGCACACCAGGAACCCAGTTTTCAGTTTCATTTATTAGGCATGGTAGGTATAGCCCTGTGAGACATTCGGCTCTTGAATCGGGTGCAACCGCAACAAACAAAAAACACGAACAAGAAAACATCTTAAAGTGACTACTACGCGCAACAGACAATCCAGGAAAAAACAGCAAAATCTTCCAGAAAAAAAGCACCGAATATCAACGCTGCGTGCAAAAATCCCAGTGGGATGCGAGTCAAACAACAACAACCACAAGACAATTTAGATTAAAGTTATCAGGCTAACTCTGTACTGCAACAAACAAACATGGCTAAACCAAAATGTCTTCGAAATCACCAAAGTAAGGCTATAAAAACAATGTAGCAGCGATCATAGGAACTGCGATTAAAATGTAACAATAAACGATATACACAGAACATGTACGGCCAAACTTTGCAGTCATAGCTGGCAGTATGAGTCACTCCATAACAGCAGAAGTATCAACAAGAATTTGTCAATGCACCTTTAAAGATCAGACCCGCTGGGAGGTTCCAGAAAGGGGGCATGGCCGGGGGCGGAGCCAGGGTACGCTGACGGTATAAGAGGAGCCCCTGTAGGCCGGCGGTCCCCAATCTTTTTGGCAGCAGGGACCGCTTTCGTGGAAGACAATTTTTTTTCACGGACGGGGGGGGGGGGGATTCATCATTGGGTCTTTCCACCTTTTCATAGAGGCTCTCCGGCAACGTTTGATTTGACTCATTGTGGCTACTCGGGGTTAGAGCTTGTGGGCTTACTCATTGTGGCTACTAGGGGTTAGAGCTTGTGGGCTTACTCATTGTGGCTACTAGGGGTTAGAGCTTGTGGGCTTACTCATTGTGGCTGCTAGGGGTTAGATCTTGTGGGCTTACTCATTGTGGCTACTAGGGGTTAGAGCTTGTGGGCTTACTCATTGTGGCTACTAGGGGTTAGAGCTTGTGGGCTTACTCATTGTGGCTACTAGGGGCTAGAGCTTGTGGGCTTACTCATTGTGGCTACTAGGGGTTAGAGCTTGTGGGCTTACTCATTGTGGCTACTAGGGGTTAGAGCTTGTGGGCTTACTCATTGTGGCTACTAGGGGTTAGAGCTTGTGGGCTTACACATTGTGGCTACTAGGGGTTAGAGCTCGTGGGCTTACTCCTTGTGGCTACTAGGGGTTAGAGCTTGTGGGCTTACTCCTTGTGGCTACTAGGGGTTAGAGCTCGTGGGCTTACTCATTGTGGCTACGAGGGGTTAGAGCTTGTGGGCTTACTCATTGTGGCTACTAGGGGTTAGAGCTTGTGAGCTTACTCATTGTGGCTACTAGGGGTTAGAGCTTGGGGGCTTACTCATTGTGGCTACTAGGGGTTAGAGCTCGTGGGCTTACTCCTTGTGGCTACTAGGGGTTAGAGCTTGTGGGCTTACTCATTGTGGCTACTAGGGGTTAGAGCTTGTGGGCTTACTCATTGTGGCTACTAGGGGTTAGAGCTTGTGGGCTTAATCCTTGTGGCTACTAGGGGTTAGAGCTCGTGGGCTTACTCCTTGTGACTACTAGGGGTTAGAGCTCATGGGCTTACTCATTGTGGCTACGAGTGGTTAGAGCTCGTGGGCTTACTCATTGTGGCTACTAGGGGTTAGAGCTTGTGGGCTTACTCATTGTGGCTACTAGGGGTTAGAGCTCGTGGGCTTACTCATTGTGGCTACTCGGGGTTAGAGCTTGTGGGCTTACTCCTTGTGGCTACTAGGGGTTAGCTCGTGGGCTTACTCATTGTGGCTACTAGGGGTTAGAGCTTGTGGGCTTACTAATTGTAGCTACTAGGGGTTAGAGCTCGTGGACTTACTTATTGTGGGTAATCGGGGTCAGCTTGTGGGCTTACTCCTTGTGGCTACTCGGGGTTAGAGCTTGTGGGCTTACTCATCGTGGCTACTAGGGGTTAGAGCTTGTGGGCTTACTCATCGTGGCTACTAGGGGTTAGAGCTTGTGGGCTTACTCATTGTGGCTACTAGGGGTTAGAGCTTGTGGGCTTACTCCTTGTGGCTACTAGGGGTTAGAGCTTGTGGGCTTACTCGTGGCTACTAGGGGTTAGAGCTTGTGGGCTTACTCCTTGTGGCTACTAGGGGTTAGAGTTTGTGGGCTTAATCCTTGTGGCTACTAGGGGTTAGAGCTTGTGGGCTTACTCATTGTGGCTACTAGGGGTTAGAGCTTGTGGGCTTACTCATTGTGGCTACTAGGGGTTAGAGCTTGTGGGCTTACTCATTGTGGCTACTCGGGGTTAGAGCTTGTGGGCTCTAATTGTGTCTACTAGGGGTTAGAGCTTGTGGGCTTACTCATTGTGGCTACTAGGGGTTAGAGCTTGTGGGCTTACCAACACCGTTACTGAGACAAGTTCGCAGTGCGGGAAAGAGGCGCGGACGGAAGTGGTGAATAATAAAACGATGGGGGCGGGCCACGTGCCGACTCACCGCTCTCACCTCCTGCTGCTGTGCGGCCCGGTTCCTAACAGGCCACGGACCGGTACCGGTACTGGTCCGCGGCCTGGGGGTTGGGAACCCCTGCTGTAGTGGACCTCGGGGCTGTCGTGTGGAGTAGGGCGGGGGATCCCCGTCGTGCTGCTCAAGTCCTTCGCCACCGTTCTTCTCGTCGTTCTTCACCATCACCGGAGCGTCGCCAGTCAAGCAGCCTACCAAGTGACCCGACCCTCACCATCACCGGAGCGTCGCCAGTCAAGCAGCCTACCAAGTGCCCTGACCCTCACCATCACCGGAGCGTCGCCAGTCAAGCAGCCTATCAAGTGTCCCGACCCTCACCATCACCGGAGCGTCGCCAGTCAAGCAGCCTACCAAGTGCCCCGACCCTCACCATCACCGGAGCGTCGCCAGTCAAGCAGCCTACTAAGTGTCCCGACCCTCACCATCACCGGAGCGTCGCCAGTCAAGCAGCCTACCAAGTGCCCCGACCCTCACCATCACCGGAGAGTCGCCAGTCAAGCAGCCTACCAAGTGCCCCGACCCTCACCATCACCGGAGCGTCGCCAGTCAAGCAGCCTACCAAGTGCCCCGACCCTCACCATCACCGGAGCGTCGCCAGTCAAGCAGCCTACTAAGTGGCCCGACCCGAGTACCGTCGCCCGACAAACTAATCGTAGAAGCGTGAACCCCGATGGTGCTTGCGAACAAAGAAGTGCCTCCAACTCTTATTCGTCTCCCGAGTTAAGTCACCAACACCAGTAACGAGTTGGCTACGCTCCGTTCACGTGACACAACGCCCTTAACTAATTGGCTGTGTCGGGTGGTGGCGGGTTTAACGACACAATATTTATATTTGCGCGATCTAACCCCCACCACCCCGCAAAAAAAACCCCGTAAACTATTTTGTGTTCATGTCACGGGAGCCTTTTTTGCCCAGGAATCAAAGTATGCAAAAATAAGAATATATTTTACTATTCTTATTCTGGCCCACTCCAGAAGAAGGCTGCGGGGTCTGGTTGGCTACGTACGGTGAGAAAGAAGTTCAACACACAGCACGGTTGGCTACGTAGCCCACCATGCTGTGATGAACTTCTATCGCACCGTACGTAGCCAACCGTGCTATGTGTTGAACTTCTATCGCACCGTACGTAGCCAACCGTGCTGTGTGTGTTGAACTTCTATCGCACCGTACGTAGCCAACCGTGCTGTGTGTTGAACTTCTTTCACACCGTACGTAGCCAACCGTGCTGTGTGTTGAACTTCTTTCGCACCGTACGTAGCCAACCACGCAAATTGGAGGTGCGGGGGAGGGGGTAAGGACAACAAACTAAATACAAAAATCCGTTCTAAACAAACTGAGTTTTCAATTTAGTGTAGTGTATAGTGTAACATAGTGTAATGTATAGTAGTGTATAGTGTAATGTATAGTAGTGTATAGTTTAGTGTATAGTGTAATGTATAGCAGTGTATAGTGTAAAGTATAGCAGTGTATAGCGGTGTATTGTTTAGTAATTCGGGAACACAATGATGCACCGCTTTTAAATGCACAATACACTGTTATACACTACACACTATGCTATACACTCCGATACATTACACTATACAATACTATACATTACACTATACACTACTATACATTACACTATGCACTACACTATACACTACCATACATAACACTATACACTACACTATACAATACACTATATACTACACTGCTATACACTACACTATACACTACCATACGTAACACTATACACTACACTATTAATACACTAAGCTATATTGCACCGAGGCGGGTGGGTGGCCAGCAACCACGACCCGGCCGCCTTTGTCTCCCCGAGCGCCGACGTTGACTACACACCGCACCGGGTAGTCATTTGAAGCCGAATCGACCTTCGGGAGGGCCCAGGACCGGTTCGGGATAATCGCCATCAGTGGTGCTGACCCGCGAGCGGGAGTCGAACTCGGGTCACATGGCCCGGTTCGTAGCGCAGCGTGGCGCTAACCGCTGCACCGCCGCTCCCCCAACTATCCACGACTATCTCACCCACACGACAGCACGCAGACGCTGCTGCTATCCTGGTCTCCCGACTTGTCGTCTGGTGAAGCAAAAATCAATTTTAAAGTGCGATTAGGGTCCCGCTGACAAGGAGGGAACGCGCACGCACGCACACACACAGCTTCTTCAGCAGGAGTTTTATTAACAGCGTCAACGGGCATCACAATATCTTCTTCAGCAGGAGTTTTATTAACAGCGTCAAGGGGCATCACAATATCTTCTTCAGCAGGAGTTTTATTAACAGCGTCAAGGGGCATCACAATATCTTCTTCAGCAGGAGTTTTATTAACAGCGTCAAGGGGCATCACAATATCTTCTTCAGCAGGAGTTTTATTAACAGCGTCAAGGGGCATCACAATATCTTCTTCAGCAGGAGTTTTATTAACAGCGTCAAGGGGCATCACAATATCTTCTTCAGCAGGAGTTTTATTAACAGCGTCAAGGGGCATCACAATATCTTCTTCAGCAGGAGTTTTATTAACAGCGTCAAGGGGCATCACAATATCTTCTTCAGCAGTTTTATTAACAGCGTCAAGGGGCATCACAATATCTTCTTCAGCAGGAGTTTTATTCACAGCGTCAAGGGGCATCACAATATCTTCTTCAGCAGGAGTTTTATTAACAGCGTCAAGGGGCATCACAATATCTTCTTCAGCAGGAGTTTTATTAACAGCGTCAAGGGGCATCACAATATCTTCTTCAGCAGGAGTTTTATTAACAGCGTCAAGGGGCATCACAATATCTTCTTCAGCAGGAGTTTTATTCACAGCGTCAAGGGGCATCACAATAGCTTCTTCAGCAGGAGTTTTATTAACAGCGTCAAGGGGCATCACAATATCTTCTTCAGCAGGAGTTTTATTCACAGCGTCAAGGGGCATCACAATATCTTCTTCAGCAGGAGTTTTATTAACAGCGTCAAGGGGCATCACAATATCTTCTTCAGCAGGAGTTTTATTCACAGCGTCAAGGGGCATCACAATATCTTCTTCAGCAGGAGTTTTATTAACAGCGTCAAGGGGCATCACAATATCTTCTTCAGCAGGAGTTTTATTCACAGCGTCAAGGGGCATCACAATAGCTTCTTCAGCAGGAGTTTTATTAACAGCGTCAAGGGGCATCACAATATCTTCTTCAGCAGGAGTTTTATTAACAGCGTCAAGGGGTATCACAATATCTTCTTCAGCAGGAGTTTTATTCACAGCGTCAAGGGGCATCACAATATCTTCTTCAGCAGGAGTTTTATTCACAGCGTCAAGGGGCATCACAATATCTTAATTTGAAGCTTTCCCACCCGATGACGATCGCTTGCGTTGCGCCCGAAACGCCGTGATTTATTTTATTTTATACCCACCACGTAACTTTACCGCAAAGAACCAAAGAGTAGGCATTCATTAAGTCAATTGAATCAAACAAACGTAATGCATAATAAAGGTTTTTGGGTTAGATCGCGTTATTTGTAAATGTGTCGTAACCCTCCACCACCCGACACGGCCAATCAGCAAAAAAAAAAGTGTCACGTTGACAAAAGACAAATAGTTCACTACTTTAGCCCACCGGTGTGTTGAAGAGTGAATCCACAACATTTACAATGTGAGAATTCTGGCGGAATTCTGGCGAATTGCCCGATGATGCTGGATGTATTTACCAGCGAAACGTCATACTCAAACTGTAAATGTTGTGGATTCACTCTTCAACACACCGTGGGCTAAAGTAGTAAACTAATTGTCTTTTGTCAACGTGACACTTTTTTGCTGATTGGCCATGTCGGGTGGTGGAGGGTTATGACACATTTATAAATAACGCGATCTAACCCAAAAACCTTTATTATGAATAATATTGATCACGAAAGCCTACGTGTTAAACAAACGTAATGCACTACACACGGGTGCCACGGAGGCTCGCAGATGTTAACTACCTCGCCTGGTGTGCAGGAGGTCGTGGGTTCCATCCTGACCCTGCTATATATTTGGAGTCTGCATCTCTCTCTCATCATCATCATCATCACGGTGGCTAGATGTTAACTACCTCGCCTGGTGTGCAGGAGGTCGTGGGTTCCATCCCGACCCCTGCTGTGTATTTGGAATCTGCGCGTCTCTCTCTCTCATCATCATTATCACGGTGGCTAGGAGATGTTAACTACCTCGCCTGGTATACAGGACGCCTGTGCTGCTGTATTTGGAGTCTGGGTGTCTATCTCCCCCGTGGTCACGTGGATTTTCTCCGGGTCCTCCTGTTTTCCCCCACACATTCACAATCGACGTCACGCGTTGAAAGGTTTTTGGCCGCTGCTACTCATTTCCACGCGACGATGAACCACTTGGTCGAGCTATCATTAAGTGATGACCAAGTTGCTTCTGAAAAAAAAAACTACTACATAGCAGCTCATTGGGGCCTTACACGTGGTGTAAAATATATATTTTTTAATGTTTAGTTTAGTTTATAAACCAGAGAATAAATGTAACTGGATTGCACCGCCAACGGTACTCGAGCTCCGAAAGAGCGTGCGTTGATCGACCGCTGATGAAGAACCAATATCACTGGCCGTGGCCTATCCACTGCTGTATTAAGGCCTACCAAAATCTCTGCCATTCTCTCAATCCTGCGTTCCACCAATTACACGACCCCCTTCAGGGTCGGGATCGAACCCACGGCCTCCTGCACACCAGGCGAGGTAGTTAACATCGCCAAATACAGGCACCGTCAGGGATCGGGATCGAACCCACGGCCTCCTGCACACCAGGCGAGGAAGTTAACACATGTCCTAGCCACCGTGATGATGAGTTAATGCAAGCTCCAAATATACAGCGTCAGGATCGATCCCACAAACTCCTGCACGCCAGGCGAGGTAGTTAACATCGCCAAATACAGGCACCGTCAGGGGTCGGGATCGAACCCACGCCCTCCTGCACAACAGGCGAGGTAGTCAACATCTCTCAACCACCCTGGGGGCGTGATAAAATTACACCACGTGGTTAAGTGCGATCCCAGGTCGTGGCTTGAAGCTGCACTCGATTCAATTCCCCCTGCAATGGATCGAGATTCGAAGGGGGAAATTCCGTGGATTGGGTTTGTTTGTAGTGGGTTTATAACTCTGGGTAGTCGTCAGTGGCCCTCCGTAGCAGTCTGTGGCCCGTGTAATGGCGAACCCATCACCACCAAACACAACCCCCACACACCTCTCCCACAACACCGACAGTCTACGGCATTCAGTACTCGTCCGTGGCCCTCCGCAATCGCCCGTGGCCCTCCGTGGCAGTGTATGGCAATCTATAGCCCTCTGTGACAGTCTATAGCCCTCTGTGACAGTCTATAGCCCTCTGTGGCAGTCTATAGCCCTCTGTGACAGTCTATAGCCCTCTGTGGCAGTCCATAGCCCTCTGTGACAGTCTATAGCCCTCTGTGGCAGTCTATAGCCCTCTGTGGCAGTCTGTGATAGTCTGTAGCCCTCTGCGACAGTCTGTGATAGTCTGTAGCCCTCTGCGACAGTCTGTGATAGTCTGTAGCCCTCTGTGGCAGTCTGTAGCCCTCTGTGGCAGTCTATAGCCCTCTGTGGCAGTCTATAGCCCTCTGTGGCAGTCTGTGGCAGTCTATAGCCCTCTGTGGCAGTCTGTAGCCCTCTGTGGCAGTCTATAGCCCTCTGTGAGAGTCTATAGCCCTCTATGGCAGTCTGTAGCAGTCTGGGACAGTCTGGGACAGTCTATAGCCCTCTGTGACAGTCTATAGCCCTCTGTGACAGTCTGTGACAGTCTATAGCCCTCTGTGGCAGTCTATAGCCCTCTGTGGCAGTCTATAGCCCTCTGTGGCAGTCTACAGCCCTCTGTGGCAGTCTACAGCCCTCTGTGGCAGTCTATAGCCCTATGTGGCAGTCTATAGCCCTCTGTGGCAGTCTATAGCCCTCTGTGACAGTCTGGGACAGTCTATAGCACTCTGTGGCAGTCTATAGCCCTCTGTAGCCCTCTGTGGCAGTCTGTGACAGTCTATAGCCCTCTGTGGCAATCTGTGACAGTCTATAGCTCTCTGTGACGGTCTATAGCCCTCTGTGGCAGTCTATAGCTCTGTGACAGTCTATAGCCCTCTGTGACAGCCTATAGCCCTCTATGGCAGTCTATAGCCCTCTATGGCAGTCTATAGCCCTCTGTGGCAGTCTATAGCCCTCTGTGGCAGTCTATAGCCCTCTGTGGCAGTCTATAGCCCTCTGTGGCAGTCTATAGCCCTCTATGGCAGTCTATAGCCCTCTGTGGCAGTGTATAGCCCTCTGTGGCAGTCTATAGCCCTCTGTGACAGTCTATAGCCCTCTGTGGCAGTCTATAGCCCTCTGTGACAGTCTATAGCCCTCTGTAGCCCTTTGTGGCAGTCTGTAGCAGTCTGGGACAGTCTGTGACAGTCTATAGCCCTCTGTGGCAGTCTGTGACAGTCTATAGACCTCCGTGACAGTCTATAGCCCTCTCTAGCCCTCTGTGGCAGTCTATAGCCCTCTGTGACAGTCTATAGCCCTCTGTGGGAGTCTATAGCCCTCCGTGACAGTCTATAGTCGTCTGTGACAGTCTGTGGCAGTCTGTAGCCCTCTGTGGCACTCTGTGGCAGTCTATAGCTTTCTGTGGCAGTCTATAGCCCTCTGTGGAAGTCTATAGCCCTCTGTGGAAGTCTATAGCCCTCTGTGGAAGTCTATAGCCCTCTGTGGAAGTCTATAGCCCTCTGTGGAAGTCTATAGCCCTCTGTGGAAGTCTATAGCCCTCTGTGGAAGTCTATAGCCCTCTGTGGAAGTCTATAGCCCTCTGTGGCAGTCTATAGCCCTCTGTGGCAGTCTATAGCCCTCTGTGGCAGTCTATAGCCCTCTGTGGCAGTCTATAGCCCTCTGTGGCAGTCTATAGCCCTCTGTGGCAGTCTATAGCCCTCTGTGGCAGTCTATAGCCCTCTGTGGCAGTCTATAGCCCTCTGTGACAGTCTATAGCCCTCTGTGACAGTCTATAGTCATCTGTGGCAGTCTATAGCCCTCTGTGGCACTCTATAGCCCTCTGTGGCAGTCTATAGCCCTCTGTGGCAGTCTATAGCCCTCTGTGGCAGTCTATAGCCCTCTGTGGCAGTCTATAGCCCTCTGTGGCAGTCTATAGCCCTCTGTGGCAGTCTATAGCCCTCTGTGGCAGTCTATAGCCCTCTGTGGCAGTCTATAGCCCTCTGTGGCAGTCTATAGCCCTCTGTGGCAGTCTATAGCCCTCTGTGGCAGTCTATAGCCCTCTGTGGCAGTCTATAGCCCTCTGTGACAGTCTATAGCCCTCTGTGACAGTCTATAGTCATCTGTGGCAGTCTATAGCCCTCTATGGCACTCTATAGCCCTCTGTGGCAGTCTATAGCCCTCTGTGGCAGTCTATAGCCCTCTGTGGCAGTCTATAGCCCTCTGTGGCAGTCTATAGCCCTCTGTGACAGTCTATAGCCCTCTGTGACAGTCTATAGCCCTCTGTGACAGTCTATAGCCCTCTGTGACAGTCTATAGTCATCTGTGGCAGTCTATAGCCCTCTGTGACAGTCCATAGCCCTCTGTGGCAGTCTATAGCCCTCTGTGGCAGTCTATAGCCCTCTGTGGCAGTCTATAGCCCTCTGACAGTCTATAGCCCTCTGTGGCAGTCTATAGCCCTCTGTGGCAGTCCATAGCCCTCTGTGACAGTCTATAGCCCTCTGTGACAGTCTATAGCCCTCTGTGGCAGTCTATAGCCCTCTGTGGCAGTCTACAGCCCTCTGTGGCAGTCCATAGCCCTCTGTAGCAGTGTATAGCCCTCTGTGGCAGTCTATAGCCCTCTGTGGCAGTCTATAGCCCTCTGTGACAGTCTATAGCCCTCTGTGGCAGTCTATAGCCCTCTGTGGCAGTCTATAGCCCTCTGTGGCAGTCTATAGCCCTCTGTGGCAGTCTATAGCCCTCTGTGGCAGTCCATAGCCCTCTGTGACAGTCCATAGCCCTCTGTGGCAGTCTATAGCCCTCTGTGGCAGTCTATAGCCCTCTGTGACAGTCCATAGCCCTCTGTGACAGTCTATAGCCCTCTGTGACAGTCTATAGCCCTCTGTGACAGTCCATAGCCCTCTGTGACAGTCTATAGCCCTCTGTGACAGTCTATAGCCCTCTGTGGCAGTCTATAGCCCTCTGTGGCAGTCTATAGCCCTCTGTGGCAGTCCATAGCCCTCTGTAGCAGTGTATAGCCCTCTGTGAGAGTCTATAGCCCTCTGTGACAGTGTATAGCCCTCTGTGGCAGTCTACAGCCCTCTGTGGCAGTCTATAGCCCTCTGTGACAGTCTATAGCCCTCTGTGACAGTCTATAGCCCTCTGTGGCAGTCTATAGCCCTCTGTGACAGTCTATAGCCCTCTGTGGCAGTCTACAGCCCTCTGTGACAGTCTATAGCCCTCTGTGGCAGTCTGGGACTCGTGTTAATGGCGAACCCATCACCGCTACCACCACCACCACGTAACGAACCGCAACCTTCACAACACATCTCCCGCAACAACACCATCATCAACAACAACACCATCATCAACAACAACACCGACAACAACGACGATAGTCTAGGGGCTTCATTAATCGCCCGTGGGGCCCCCGTCCGCGTGAATCCACGGCCTTCGCGTGCGGCGCAGCGTCCCCGGCTCCTGTAATGGCGGCGCTCCATCACCACCACCACCACCAGCGCCGCGTAACGAACATTCCCGCGTCAAAACCAAACTAACCATTAAACAACAACAAACGAACACACACACAACAACGGACGAACAAAGCGATCGAGAAGCGTAGTCGTCCGTCGTCAAGATAGACGGACGAGAGAGAGAGAGATCTTTGTTCGGTGATGATGGTGGTGGTGAAGATGATGGTGGTTGTTTGTTACGTGGGAGGCGATGGGGGTTGGGGAGAGCGCGCGAATTGGCAACCTCAGGCCTCAACATCGCGCATCAGTCCCGAAAGGGTGGTTGGTGGTGGTGGAGAGGAAGGAAAGGCGAGAAGAAGGAAAAAATCGAAAGATCGGGAGAATTAAGTAAAAAAACACAACCAGGGTCGTGTTTGAATTGGCGGCGTACGCGACCACAAGCCTCGCTCTCGTTCGCCTTGAGGAGGGCCCCTCAACATCGCGCATCAGTGCCGACAGGGCGAGAGGGAAAGATAAGAAGGAAAGATGAACGAAAGGTGAATGAATGAAATGAAAAACTAACCACCACCACAACAACAACACAAACCCGGTTCGTTTTGCGTTAGCAGCGACCACAAGCCTCGCGTTTGCCTCGAGGAGGAGTTGGGGGGGGGCCTCGTCCCACCTCAGTCCCGAAAGGACGAGGAAGGAAAGCGAAGGAAAGGTTGAGAACGAAATGTGAATGAATGAAAGGTGTAAAAAAAATAACCACCACCCCCAACAACAACACACACAACCAGGCAGGGGTTCGTGTTGCGTTAACAGCGGCCACGACCCAGAGCCTCGCTCGTTCGCCTTGGGGGGTTTGGGGAAGGAGCTCATCGCACATCAGCCCCGAAGAGCAAGCAAGGAAGGAAGGAGGAATGAAAGAATGAGGAAAGAAAGAAGAACGATGGAGGAAAGAAAGGCCAAACAATCACAACCCCGGCTTGGTGTTGCGTTAACAGCGGCCACGACCCACAGCCACGCCGCTATGAGCTAGGAAAGAGATTAGGAAAGAAATGCGAATGAAATAAAACCCAAACTCATCCAACAACACCACCACCACACAAACACAACAACCACACAACAACAACCACACAACAACAACACAAACCGGGTCGTTGTTTCGCCTTACTTACCAGGCGGCTTCGTCCGTCGTAATTATAATTTTAAAATAAAAAATAAATGTAAAGCTTCACCGAAACGGGCGCTTGTAAAGCGAGCTGGCGGGAAGCGGTAGATCTGGAGGGGTTCGCGATCAAGGAAAAAAAAGTTTTACACAAAAAAACTAATTAAAAAATAATTACAAACAAATAATCTGCTGCGTGGCCTTAGCGTTAAGAGACTGGGCCACTCGCCGCGATCCCGTTCGTTTAACTTAATCGACTCGGCTCCAATGGCGCGAACAACAAACCAAACAAAATAAAAAAAATCTCGCTCGTCGGAACCGTAGCCGACATCGGGTACGAGGCCCTCGCCTGTCCCCCCCCCTGCCCGCCCGCCCGCCCGCCCTGCGCCTCATCCCGGGCAAGCGCCGCTATCCGAGCGCGGCGCGACTCCCCGACCCCGCCGCCTCTACCTAGGCCGCGGCCGACTTCGCAGAGCCGCCGCCGGCGAACGGAACGTCGCCGAGACGCCGCTCGAACGGCGGCAGCTCCGCCGGGCGTTTGCCGAGCGCGTCGCGAAGATCCCGAGGCGATGGGCGCTACGACGCGGCTACGGCGCCGCCGAGAACGACAGGTCCCCCCCCCTCCTCCGTCGCTTCGATCTCGCCATTGACGCAAGCGACGGCGGCGAGAAGCCGCAGCAACCTCGAGTTGCCGACACGGTGGGGTGGGGGCGGGGTGAGGATGCCCCACCCACTCCCCCCCTGCGGTGACGTCACGGGCGGGGTGGGGGCGGCGGCCGTCCAATGAGAGCGAGGCGCCGCCGGGATGCGCGCGCGATCAACATAATTTATGCGGAATAATTAGGCGATTCCGTGCGGCGGAGTTCGGGAAACCCCGCGAGTGCGGCCCCTATATAAGTGGCTGCTCGACGGCTTCGCGCTCAGATCGGGGTGGTCGCTCCTCCAGCGCGGAGCTCTGGAAGAGGCAGGACCACGCCACCCGGCTGCAAGCCCGATCCGTATACTTTAAAGATATAGTATATGTTAATCAGGGGTGGCGGGGGGGGTGGTGTGTTTGCGTGTGACAATTAAAGCAAAAAGAAAAGTTATTAGTTAACGTTATATTCGAATAATAAAGAAACTTTCGTAGAGACACAACTCTCTTTTCCCCCCCCTACCCTTCCCCCCCCATCTTCCCCCTTTTTACCCCTCCCCCTCTCCGGGCTTAGACGTTAATCGAATTTAATTTAAGAATATATATATAATCCGTAACAAACAAAAAAAGTGTGCTGCAGTAAGCGGCGGCGGCGGCGTTGTGTTTTTGTTGTTTAAAAAAAAGGAAAAGTTTTGTTAAAAGATTATAAATAAAATAATAAATTTATAATAATTTGAAGGAAAAAAAAGGCCAAGCCATGCCGCATTACGGGCCGCCCTCGAGCGAGAGCGCCTGCCCGCTCCGCACCATCAAGAGGCTGCAGTTCGGAGTGCTGAGCCCCGATGAAATTGTACGTGGTGGGTGGGTGGTGGCTGGTGGGTGGGTCGGTGGTGGGTGGCTGGTGGGGTAGTGGATGGGTGGGTAGGGGTGGATGGTTTTTCGGTCAGGGTAGTGGGTGGGTGGTGGGTGCTTAGTGGGCTAAGGGGTGGGTGGACGCGGGACTCTTAACGTGAAGTGGGCTCCTAATGTTAAGCCTATGGGGGCGGTGAACGTGTGATAAGTTGTGTAACGGCGCGTAATGTATTTATACTTTTTGTTAAATGGATGTCTTCGATTTTTGAACCGCGTTGTTGAGTTTGAATTCTTTGACGCGGGTTACACAATTTGTCGACCATAATTTTTTCTTTCAACTCGTTGACTTTGTATTCGTTGTCCTCCAACGGGGACTTTTAATTTGGATTCCTCAAGCGGGGACTTTTAATTTGGATTCCTCAAGCGGGGACTTTTAATTTGAATTTTGATTCGTCCGGCGGCGACTTTTTAATTTTTGTTCCCCCCAGCGGTGACTTTTAAATTTGGATTCCTCAAGCGGGGACTTTTAATTTTTATTTCCCCCAGCGGTGACTTTGAATTTGAATTTCTCCAGCTGCAAATTTTTAATTCCTCCCGGCTGAAACTTTTAATCTGGATGCCCCCAAGCGGTGACTTTTAATTTGACTTTGGATTCCTCAAGCGGGGACTTTTATTTTTTATTCTCCCCAGCGGTGACTTAGAATTTGGATTCCTCAAGGGTGGACTTTTATTCTGGATTTGGATTCGTCCGGCTGCAACTTTTAATTTGAATTCCCCCAGCGGTGACTTTTAATTTGAATTTGGATTCCCCCCATCGGTGACTTTTGATTTGGATTAACAACAACCACCGTCCCACCAATGTTAAATGTTTAATTCCGATCTGCTTAAAGGGGGACTTCAACTTCGGAGTAAATTAACGCGTGAGGATGTTTGTGTAAGAACTTTGCCGGACGCGCACTTAACAAGGTTAAGGGGATGAAACGTTACTTTGGGGTTTTTCCCCTCGTTACATTTGCGCAGGTTACGTGTTAGAAGGGCGTTTTTTGGTTTCTGTTCTTGTTTATGGACTTGTCGAAAGAGTCTATAATTTTGATGCCTCCGATCAGATTTGTGTCGTTAATGTTTTTTTTATATATACCGAAAATTTCCGTGACTGCTGGAATTCCACAATCTTTGGTTCTTTCGGTAAAGTCGCGTAGATGGGAAAATATTTTTTTTAAATAACTAAAATATTTTTTAAAAACTCGCGTTGTTTTTTTTTATTTTTTTAAATATTCTATCGACGTGACATTAACGAAAGAACCAAAGAATATTGTTGTTGTTGTGGTCGGTTTTTTTTCGCATGTCGAGCATCGAGTTGCCACCTTGCTCTTAACTTTTAATCTCACCACGAATAAAAACATGTTCGCTAATATTATTATCGAGTTCGATTTTAAGCGGCAGGAATGTGGTGGTGGGGGGGGTTGGGGGGAATCATCGCGATCAATGTTTTTAGCGACTCCCAGGTTCAATTTGACCACCACCCGCCGTGGATGTCACCGGACTCTGCGGCCGGATAAACGTGAAGCGCTTCGTAGCCTCGCGGATTTCCTCCGGCCAAGTCTGAAAGTGCAAAAGGTCGGGGGTAGAAGTTGACCTTCGCTACGGGTTGAGGGTGGGGGTGGGGGGAAAAACTAAATTCTATTTTATTTTTGGCTCGTGACCGGGGTTGCCTTGCGGACGACAATAATAACGATTTGTTGATTTAAACGAACGAAAAATATAACAAACCCAAGAGGGCTAACTCGTTGTAACAAATAGAGGCGTTTCCGGGATGAAGATAGTGCGAGGCCTGTAGGATATGTTGTTATAAAGGGGCCCTAAATAAATATTAAAGCACAAATTTTAACTTTTCATTTTCTATACAGCCCCAATAATACGACAAATCGCTAACCTTAAACACCCCGGTCGTTGGTAAAAGTCGGAAGGGCGGTGTAGTACTGTAGTAATAGAGCAAGTGCAGAATCATTGAACCGGAATTGATAGCTTGAAAGCGTTTTAGCACGGGGCCCTTGAAAGTGCTGGGCCCGTAGCATTTGATACCGGGAGGTCGTGGGGTGCCTCCGTGCCGGCCTTCGTAGGCCCTGCTGCTCGCTGCTAACGGCTCTTGCCCCAGCGGTCTGCTAAAGGCTACCCGGGGGACCTTCGTCTGTGCGTCCGCAGAAACGGATGTCGGTGACGGAGGGCGGCATCAAGTACCCCGAGACCACCGAGGGAGGGAAACCCAAACTGGGGGGCCTCATGGACCCCCGGCAGGGAGTCATCGACCGCACGGCGCGCTGCCAGACGTGCGCCGGTCAGTGACCTCGCAATGCACTCCCCTCTCGTGTCCACTGGCGCGCAAGGGGGGGCCCCAGCACGGCACGGGTGGGTTTTTCCACTGGCACGTCGCGAGCCAGTGTTGGGGCCCAGCACGGTACGGGTGGGTTTTTCCACTGGCACGTCCCGAGCCCGGTGTTGGGGCCCAGCACGGTACGGGTGGGTTTTTCCACTGGCACGTCGCGAGCCAGTGTTGGGGCCCAGCACGGTACGGGTGGGTTTCTCCACTGGCACATTCTGAGCCAGTGTTAGGCCCAGCACGGTACGGGTGGGTTTTTCCACTGGCACATCCCGAGCCAATGTTGGGGCCAGCACGGTACGGGTGGGTTTTTCTCACTGGCACATCCCCTAGCTAAGCCCCGTACGTCATCGATCGCAACGGAATCGGAATCAAAACCGGTGACGTTCCACGTACGACGTCGCAACGTGAGAGTGTCAATAACCTCACTTGCTCTGTACTTGTGCATTCGTTGGAACGAGCAGGCAACATGACGGAGTGCCCGGGCCACTTTGGCCACATCGAGCTGGCCAAGCCGGTGTTCCACGTGGGCTTCCTCACCAAGACCATCAAGGTTCTCCGATGCGTCTGCTTCTTCTGCTCCAAGATGCTCGTGGATTCGGTGAGGCTTTGGTCCTGGGCGGGGCTGGGTGGTAGGATGCAGGGATTGGCACGAGGTCTGTGAGGCTTTGGTCCCGGTGGGGCTGTGATTTAACCGGTGTCTCTCTCTCTTTCGTTGCCACCTGGCGAATTGTAAACACACCCAGCTTGAACGTTCCTGTTCCATTCCTTGTTCAGAAGGACTGGAACGGGGCACCATTCAAGCCGCGCTCTGCTTGAATGGTGCCCCGTTTCCATCTCTTGCTATTCAGAACAACCCCAAAACACTCGGCTTGAACCTTCCTGTTCCGTCTCTTCAGAACAAAGCCAAAACACTGAGATTGAACGTTACCTGTCCCGTCTACTTTGTCCAGAACAACCCCAACAAACACTCAGATTGAACGTTACCTGTCCCGTCTACTTTGTCCAGAACAACCCCAACAAGCACTCAGATTGAACGTTGCCTGTCCCGTCTACTTTGTCCAGAACAACCCCAACAAACACTCAGATTGAACGTTACCTGTCCCGTCTACTTTGTCCAGAACAACCCCAACAAGCACTCAGATTGAACGTTGCCTGTCCCATCTACTTTGTCCAGAACAACCCCAACAAACACTCAGATTGAACGTTACCTGTCCCATCTACTTTGTCCAGAACAACCCCAACAAGCACGCTCGGATTTAGCGGTCCGTTAAACGTTCCCCTGTTCCATCGCGTTTGTTCAGAACAACCCCAGAGCACGTAGCTTGAACGTTCTCCCCCCCCCTCCCCCTTTCCGTCTCTTCATCCGGAACAACCTGAACAAAAACCCACACGCCCATCGGCTTCACGAACGTTCCGACCACACGCCCCCTACCCCCTCCCGCTCAACTCAACCCCCGTTTCCGTGTCTCTCTCCCCCCCCCTCCTCCTTCACCTCCGTTCAGAACAACCCCAAGATCAAGGACATCCTGCTCAAGTCTCGGGGCCAGCCACGCCGGAGGCTCACGCACGTCTACGACCTCTGCAAGGGCAAGAACATCTGCGAGGGTGGGGAGGAGATGGACTCGCGATTCGACGGTGACCTCAAGGAGGGCGCCTCGGAGGAGACCAAGGAAAAAGTACGTCACGGGGCCCACCCTCCCCCCCTCCTCCTCCTCCGTTTGCCGGGAATCGAAATATAACAGCGGCTATAGGTAATAATAGGGGGTTTTCCCCTTTTTTATCTTCTGGCAACAAAACGGAAACCTTTGATTCATGTTACTGCATTAACCACAATACCTGCAGTCAAAATGCAAGTAAAAAAAACGACACTATGATAATCTATGTGGCATTGTCCTTGAAACTGATTGGTCCACACCAAGGGACGGCTTTCTTTTGAGCCTCTACCCAATTGTTGCTCGACCAGACGACGCCAAAAGGCGTCACACAGCTCAGAGACAATGCCACTATCAAAGTAATGAGGGCTCACGTGGAAAAACCCTACGATTACATTTTGGTACTGGCAAAGGAGGTCTGATGATGTAACGGCTATACGCTCTGGTTCTTACGGTAAAGTCGCGTAGATAGATAATATAGTTTCGGTCGCAACACAAGCGACCGAAACGTCGTTTTTTGTTTTATTATTTTTTTTCCTTCGACGTGACCTCTACCGAAAGCGTATGGATATAGTCCTGCAGTGACGAAAGCTTCAAATCAATGACAGCGGCCGTTTTGACCCTTTCTGGCAATGAAACAGACGTTGCGTTAGGATGTTTAAAGCACTAAGCTTGAAGCCTTTTGCGAGGAATCCTGTTGTTACTGCGTTCACCGTGGTGAACATGCAAGCGCACATTGCTCTGATGATGATAATAACATTACTCATTGTTTTTTTCGGTAAAGTCACGTCTCTCACGTCTCTCATCTTCTTGCTGTGTTTACCTCCGTGATTTGTTTTTTTTTTACACCTGATGAGGATCGCTTGTGTTGCGGTCGAAACGTCGTGATTGATTGATTGATTTTAATATAATTTTATGGTATCCCTACATACGTGACTTTACCGCAAAAACAAAACCAACGAGCAATTTATGCAGTCACGAAAGCTTTAATTTTTTTTATCAACAATAACATTGTCCTTGAAACTGATTGGCCTGCACCAGAGATGGCAGCCACCTTCTCTGGGGCCTAGTCTCACCACCAGTGTCGGATCAAAAGACGAACAGTACAAAGACAATGCCAGCAGCTGCTTCATGGGGACCCCCCCCCCTCTCCCTAGCCGGTATCGAAATATAACAAACGGCTGTTTGACCCTCTCTGGCAACGAAACACGAGTCTTGTTGAGACTTTTCTCGATTTGAAGCTTTCGTGACTGCAAGGATCCACACTCTTTGGCCTATTCGGTAACGTCACGTAGTAGGTAAAGAAAAATAAAACAACAAAAATCACGACGTTTCGGCCACTTTGTGTTGGTGGCCGAAACGTCGTGATTTTTGTTGTTCTGTTTTTTTTTTAACCTACTACGTGACATTTGTTGAGACGTTAAAACTCCAAATAGGCGAAACCTTTTGCAAGCAGTCAAGTTTACTGCGTTCACGACGCACGTCGCTTCCGGTGGACGTGCTAACAAAACGCACGCTCTGCCTACGTAACGTCACGTGGGTAGAGCTACGTGACTTTACCCAAAGAGTGTGGATTCCTGCAGTCACGAAAGCTTCAGATGAAGATTGAACACGCTCTGGTTAGTATGAGATGATGATGATGATGATGACGATGCATTGTCCGCGAAGCTGATTGGTCCACGCCAGAGACGGAAGCTTGCTTTAGGGCAGGGGTGGGGGACGTTCGGCCCGCGAAATAATTTGATCTGTTCCAGCCATCACATTAGGGGGGGGGGGGGCGAGTTAATGAAATGTTTGACCAAATATAACGGGGCTAATTTTTAAGTTGATAACTTTGCGTGGCCCGCGAATGATGTTTTATAAATATCCAAATGGCACTTGGCAGAAAAAAAGGTATCGCCCACCCCTGCCTTAGGGCCTAGTCTCACTGCCAGCTTCAGAGACCAGAGGACTACGCCAGAAGGCGGACAAGCACAAGGACAATGCCACTGTCGGGACGTTGAGGGCTCGGGGGGTGAGCAGCGACGTTATGGGACCTCCCTTCCTCCTGCTGCTGCTCCCCCTCCCGCTCCCCCTCATCCTCCCACTTCCCCCCCCCCCCCACTACAACCCCCCCCCCCCCCCGCTGCTGCTGCTGTTCCACGTGTGCCCAGGGCCACGGGGGCTGCGGGCGCTACCAACCCCGCATCCGCCGCTCGGGCCTGGAGCTCACGGCCGAGTGGAAGCACATCAACGAGGACTCCCAGGTGGGCGCAGCCGCAGCCACACTCGCCACCACCGCCGCAGCCACCACACTCGCCACCGCCGCAGCCACACTCGCCACCGCAGCCACACTCGCCACCACCGCCGCAGCCACACTCGCCACCACCGCCACACTCGCCACCACCACCGCAGCCACACTCGCCACCGCCGCAGCCACACTCGCCACCGCAGCCACACTCGCCACCACCGCCGCAGCCACACTCGCCACCGCCGCAGCCACACTCGCCACCGCAGCCACACTCGCCACCACCACCGCAGCCACACTCGCCACCACCTGGGGGAGGGGGGGGAGCCATGGCCTGGCTCTGCGAGTCTCGGTCATGAACACTTTAACCCTATGGGAGCCTTGGCCTGGCTCTGCGAGCCTCTGTCATGAACACTTTAACCCTATGGGAGCCATGGCCTGGCTCTGTGAGTCTCGGTCATGAACACTTTAACCCTATGGGAGCCATGGCCTGGCTCTGCGAGTCTCGGTCATGAACACTTTAACCCTATGGGAGCCTTGGCCTGGCAATGTGAGTCTCGGTCATGAACACTTTAACCCTATGGGAGCCTTGGCCTGGCTCTGTGAGTCTCGGTCATTAACACTTTAACCCTATGGGAGCCTTGGCCTGGCTCTGTGAGTCTCTGTCATGAACACTTTAACCCTATGAGAGCCTTGGCCTGGCTCTGCGAGTCTCGGTCATGAACACTTTAACCCTATGGGAGCCTTGGCCTGGCTCTGTGAGCCTCGGTCATGAACACTTTAACCCTATGGGAGCCTTGGCCTGGCTCTGCGAGCCTCAGTCATTAACACTTTAACCCTATGGGAGCCTTGGCCCGGCTCTGCGAGCCTCGGTCATGAACACTTTAACCCTATGGGAGCCTTGGCCTGGCTCTGCGAGCCTCTGTCATGAACACTTTAACCCTATGGGAGCCTTGGCCTGGCTCTGCGAGTCTCGGTCATTAACACTTTAACCCTATGGGAGCCTTGGCCTGGCTCTGTGAGTCTCGGTCATGAACACTTTAACCCTATGGGAGCCTTGGCCTGGCTCTGTGAGTCTCGGTCATTAACACTTTAACCCTATGGGAGCCTTGGCCTGGCTCTGTGAGCCTCAGTCATGAACACTTTAACCCTATGGGAGCCTTGGCCTGGCTCTGTGAGTCTCTGTCATGAACACTTTAACCCTATGGGAGCCTTGGCCTGGCTCTGCGAGTCTCGCTCATTAACACTTTAACCCTATGGGAGCCTTGGCCTGGCTCTGTGAGCCTCGGTCATGAACACTTTAACCCTATGGGAGCCTTGGCCTGGCTCTGTGAGCCTCAGTCATGAACACTTTAACTCTATGAGAGCCTTGGCCTGGCTCTGTGAGCCTCGGTCATGAACACTTTAACCCTATGGGAGCCTTGGCCCGGCTCTGTGAGCCTCGGTCATGAACACTTTAACCCTATGGGAGCCTTGGCCTGGCTCTGTGAGCCCTACGGGAGCCTTGGCCTGGCTCTGTGAGCCTCGGTCATGAACACTTTAACCCTATGAGAGCCTTGGCCTGGCTCTGCGAGTCTCGGTGATAACACTGAACTCTACGGGAGCCTTGGCCTGGCTTTGCGAGCCCTGCGGGAGCCTTGGCCTGGCTCTGTGAGCCCTACGGGAGCCTTGGCCTGGCTCTGCGAGCCTCGTCCAATGAACCACGGCGGCACGCCGGGCTCCCGGCGCCGTGACCGGGCCGGCGGGAGTTGACGTCGGCGTCGTCGTCGGCGTCGCTGCGAGCAGGAGAAGAAGATCGTGCTGAGCGCCGAGCGCGTCTACGAGATCTTCAAGCGCGTGACGGACGAGGAGTGCACCATCCTGGGCATGGACGTGAAGTTCGCGCGGCCCGAGTGGATGGTGGTGACGGTGCTGCCGGTGCCGCCGCTCGCCGTGCGACCGGCCGTCGTCATGCAGGGCTCTGCGCGCAACCAGGTGACCGTGGCGACGGCCGTGACCCTGCCGTGACCTCGCCGTGACCCTGCCGTGACCTCGTCACCGTGACCTTGCCGTGACCCTGCCGTGACCTCGTCACCGTGACCTTGCCGTGACCCTCCGCCGTGACCGCTTAACCGTGACCTTGCCGTGACCCTGCCGTGACCACTTCACCGTGACCTTGCCGTGACCCTCTGCTGTAACCGCTTAACCGTGACGCGACCGTGACCGCGTCACCGTGACCCTGCCGTGACCCTGCTGTGACCGCTTCACTGTGACCCTGCCGTGACCCCGCCGCCCTCGCCGTGACCCTGCGTGCGTGCGCGCGCGATCGCCCGCAGGACGACCTGACGCACAAGCTCGCCGACATCGTGAAGATCAACAACCAGCTGAAGCGCAACGAGCAGAACGGCGCTGCGGCGCACATCATCGCCGAGGACGTGAAGCTGCTGCAGTTCCACGTGGCCACCATGGTGGACAACGAGATGCCCGGCCTGCCCAGGGTGAGCAGGCCGGGTCTGACGGGTCGCACGGTGGTGGTGCCGCCCCCATCTCTAACACATCACGTGATGGTGCCGCCCCCATCTCTAACACATCACGTGATGGTGCCGCCCCCATCTCTAACATCGCGTGGTGGTGCCGCCCCCATCTCTAACATCACGTGATGGTGCCGCCCCTATCTCTAACACATCACGTGATGGTGCCGCCCCCATCTCTTACACATCACGTGATGGTGCAGCCCCCATCTCTAACACATCACGTGATGGTGCCGCCCCCATCTCTAACACATCACGTGATGGTGCCGCCCCCATCTCTAACACATCACGTGATGGTGCCGCCCCCATCTCTAGCACATCACGTGATGGTGCCGCCCCCATCTCTAACATCACGTGATGGTGCCGCCCCCCTTTCTAACACATCACGTGATGGTGCCGCCCCCCTTTCTAACACATCACGTGATGGTGCCGCCCCTATCTCTAACGCATCACACGGTGGTGCCGCCCCTATCTCTAACACATCACGTGATGGTGCCGCCCCCATCTCTAACACATCACACGGTGGTGCCGCCCCCATCTCTAACACATCACGTGATGGTGCCGCCCCCATCTCTAACATCACGTGGTGGTGCCGCCCCCATCTCTAACACATCACGTGATGGTGCCGCCCCCATCTCTAACACATCACGTGATGGTGCCGCCCCTATCTCTAACACATCACGTGGTGGTGCCGCCCCTATCTCTAACACATCACGTGATGGTGCCGCCCCCCTTTCTAACACATCACGTGATGGTGCCGCCCCTATCTCTAACACATCACGTGATGGTGCCGCCCCCATCTCTAACACATCACACGGTGGTGCCGCCCCCATCTCTAACACATCACGTGATGGTGCCGCCCCTATCTCTAACACATCACGTGGTGGTGCCGCCCTCCTTTCTAACACATCACGTGATGGTGTCGCCCCCCTTTCTAACACATCACACGGTGGTTGCCGCCTCCCTTTCTCTAACACATCACGTGATGGTGCCGCCCCCCTTTATAACACATCACGTGATGGTGCCACCCCCCTATCTCTAACACATCACGTGATGGTGCCGCCCTCCTTTCTAACACATCACGTGATGGTGCCGCCCCCCTTTCTAACACATCACGTGATGGTGCCGCCCCCCTTTCTCTAACACATCACGTGATGGTGCCGCCCCCCCCCAACCGCCGCTTGCGCCGACGCAGGCGATGCAGAAGTCCGGCCGCCCCCTCAAGTCGCTGAAGCAGCGGCTCAAGGGCAAGGAAGGTCGCGTGCGGGGCAACCTCATGGGCAAGCGAGTGGACTTCTCGGCGCGCACGGTCATCACGCCCGACCCCAACCTCTCCATCGACCAGGTCGGCGTGCCGCGCTCCATCGCGGCCAACATGACCTTCCCCGAGATCGTCACGCCCTTCAACATCGACAGGTGGGGAGGGGGGGGGTGGGGGGAGGGGTGAAGGCCGGCGTCGGGGCTAGGAGTTGTTGGCTGCCTCGCCCGGTGTGCAGGAGGTCGTGGGTTCGATCCCGACCCCTGACGATGCCTGCTGTACGTTTGGAGTCTGCGTCTCTCTCATCATCACCATCATCATCACCACGGTGGTGGCTTTGAGGATGTTAACTACCTCGCCTGGTGTGCAGGAGGTCGTGGGTTCGATCCCGACCCCTGACGATGCCTGCTGTACGTTTGGAGTCTGCGTCTCTCTCATCATCACCATCATCATCACCACGGTGGTGGCTTTGAGGATGTTAACTACCTCGCCTGGTGTGCAGGAGGTCGTGGGTTCGATCCCGACCCCTGACGATGCCTGCTGTACGTTTGGAGTCTGCGTCTCTCTCTCATCATCATCACCACGGTGGTGGCTTTGAGGATGTTAACTACCTCGCCTGGTGTGCAGGAGGTCGTGGGTTCGCTCACGACCCCTGATGATGCCTGCTGTATATTTGGAGTCTGCGTCTCTCTCATCATCACCATCATCATCACCACGGTGGCGGCTTGGAGGATGTTAACTACCTCGCTCGGTGTGCAGGAGGTCGTGGGTTCGATCAAGACCTCGGCATCAATGTAGATGACGGTGTTAACCGGTGCCTCTAGCTGTTTTGATCAGGAGCAAGCGGTACCGGTGACGGTGGTGTTTGGACGGTGGTGTTAACCAGGCGTCGGACGATGGCGTTAACCGGCGGCGTTGACGGCTGCGTTAACCGGTGCGTGCCCGTGCGGGCTCCCCTCCCCCCCTCCCCCGTGTGCCGCGCAGGATGCAGGAGCTGGTGCGGCGCGGCAACAACCAGTACCCCGGGGCCAAGTACATCACACGTGACAACGGCGAGCGTGTCGACCTGCGCTTCCACCCCAAGCCCAGCGACCTGCACCTGCAGATCGGATACAAGGTGACTGTGTAGCGGCACCGGTGTAGATGGTGGTGTGTCACCGGTAACGGTGTAGACGGTGGTGTCACCGCTAACGGTGTAGATGGTGGTGTGTCACCGGTAACGGTGTAGATGGTGGTGTCACCGGTAACGGTGTAGACTGTGGTGTCACCGGTAACGGTGTAGATGGTGGTGTCAACGGTAACGGTGTAGATGGTGGTGTCACCGGTAACGGTGTAGATGGTGGTGTGTCACCGGTAACGGTGTAGATGGTGGTGTCACCGGTAACGGTGTAGATGGTGGTGTCACCGGTAACGGTGTAGATGGTGGTGTCACCGGTAACGGTGTAGATAGTGGTGTCACCGGTAACGGTGTAGATGGTGGTGTCACTGGTAACGGTGTAGATGGTGGTGTCACCGGTGCCTCTAGCTGTGTAGCAGCACCGGTAACGGTGTAGATGGTGGTGTCACTGGTAACGGTGTAGATGGTGGTGTCACCGGTGCCTCTAGCTGTGTAACAGCACCAGTATCGGTGTAGATGGTGATGTCACCGATGCCTCTAGCTGTGTAGCAGCACCGGTAACGGTGTAGACGGTGGTGTCACCGGTATCGGTGTAGATGGTGGTGTCACCGGTAACGGTGTAGACGGTGGTGTCACCGGTAACGGTGTAGATGGTGGTGTCACCGGTAACGGTGTAGACGGTGGTGTCACCGGTAACGGTGTAGACGGTGGTGTCACCGGTAACGGTGTAGATGGTGTGTCACCGGTAACGGTGTAGACGGTGGTGTCACCGGTAACAGTGTAGACGGTGGTGTCACCGGTATCGGTGTAGACGGTGGTGTCACCGGTAACGGTGTAGACGGTGGTGTCACCGGTAACAGTGTAGATGGTGGTTTCACCGGTAATGGTGTAGATGGTGGTGTCACCGGTAATGGTGTAGACAGTGGTGTCACCGGTAACAGTGTAGACGGTGGTGTCACCGGTAACGGTGTAGACGGTGGTGTCACCGGTAACGGTGTAGACGGTGGTGTCACCGGTAACGGTGTAGACGGTGGTGTCACCGGTAACGGTGTAGATGGTGGTGTGTCACCGGTAACGGTGTAGATGGTGGTGTGTCACCGGTAACGGTGTAGATGGTGGTGTGTCACCGGTAACGGTGTAGACGGTGGTGTCACCGGTAACGGTGTAGATGGTGGTGTGTCACCGGTAACGGTGTAGACGGTGGTGTCACCGGTAACAGTGTAGATGGTGGTTTCACCGGTAATGGTGTAGATGGTGGTGTCACCGGTAATGGTGTAGACAGTGGTGTCACCGGTAACAGTGTAGACGGTGGTGTCACCGGTAACGGTGTAGACGGTGGTGTCACCGGTAACGGTGTAGACGGTGGTGTCACCGGTAACGGTGTAGACGGTGGTGTCACCGGTAACGGTGTAGACGGTGGTGTCACCGGTAACGGTGTAGATGGTGGTGTGTCACCGGTAACGGTGTAGATGGTGGTGTGTCACCGGTAACAGTGTAGATGGTGGTGTGTCACCGGTAACGGTGTAGACGGTGGTGTCACCGGTAACGGTGTAGATGGTGGTGTGTCACCGGTAACGGTGTAGACGGCGGTGTCACCGGTAACGGTGTAGATGGTGGTGTCACCGGTGCGTCTAGCCGTGTAGCAGCACCGGCACCGGTAACGGTGTAGATGGTGTCACCGGTGCCTCCAGCTGTGGTGTAACTGGTGGGCCATCCGGGAACAAGCGGATTGCTGGAGTGATTTTATTGATTGATCGATCGATTGATTGATGGATTAATCGATTGATCGATTGAGCAAGCGCTTATTTTTGCTTAAAACAAGTTCATCGTAAAGCGTGTCGCAAATGCTGTGTCCACGTGCCTTTTTTTTAAACGTATCCACGTCCGCTCTGTGCGTGTCTCCGCCCCGACCCCTCTCCCTGACCCCCCTGACCCCCTTGACCTCTGACCCCCCCCTCCCCCAGGTGGAGAGACACATGTGCGACGGAGACATCGTCATCTTCAACCGCCAGCCCACGCTGCACAAGATGTCCATGATGGGGCACAGAGTGCGCATCCTGCCCTGGTCCACCTTCCGCCTCAACCTCAGGTGGGAGCCACCACCACCACCACCATCGCCACCACCACCTTCACCACCACCATCACCACCACCATCACCATCATCACCACCACCATCGCCACCACCACCATCACCACCATCACCGCCACCATCGCCACCACCACCACCATCATCACCATCACCGCCACCATCGTCGCCACCATCGCTGCCGCCATCACCACCACCATCACCACCATCGCCACCACCACCATCACCGCCACCACCACCACCACCATCACCGCCACAGTCGCCTTCCACGAGCGATGGATTGACTTTCTTTAGTCGATCGATGGCGGTAAACGTATTGATTCATTGATCGACCCGGTACCAGGCGAGGGTTGTCGAAATCTCCGGGATGCCGTGGCAAAAAATCCCACGGAGGGTTTTCAAAATGTATCCACGTCCGATCCTGCCGGTGCGTTTCTGGCCTCCGCTCACACTCTCCCCCCCCCACCACCACCTCACCGCCACAGCGTGACGACGCCGTACAACGCGGACTTTGACGGCGACGAGATGAACCTGCACCTGCCTCAGTCGCTGGAGACTCGCGCCGAGATCCAGGAGCTGGCCATGGTGCCGCGCATGATCATCACCCCGCAGAGCAACCGGCCCGTCATGGGCATCGTGCAGGACACGCTCACGGCCGTGCGCAAGTTCACCAAGCGGGACGTCTTCCTCGACCGCGTACGGCACCGGCACTACGCGGTCACGGTTAACGCCGGCCCATCGTACCCCACCAGCCCAGCGTGCCGTCGCGGCTACGCCGGCCGTCTCACTGGCACGGTCACGGCTACGCCGGCCAACTCACCGGCACGATCACGCCAACCTTCACACCGTCACGGCTACACCAGCCATCTCACCGGCCATCTCACCGGCCATCTCACCGGCACGGTCACGGTCACGCCAACCTTCACACTGTCACGGCTTCACCGGCCATCTCACCGGCTCGGTCACGCCAACCTTCACACTGTCACGGCTACGCCGGCCATCTCACCGGCACGATCACGCCAACCTTCACACCGACACGGCTACGCCGGCTATCTCACCGTCACGGCTACGCCAACCTTCACACTGTCACGGCTACGCCGGCCATCTCACCGGCACGATCACGCCAACCTTCACACCGTCACGGCTACGCCGGCCATGTCACCGGCCATGTCACCGGCCATCTCACCGGCCATCTCACCGGCCATCTCACCGGCACGGTCACGGCTACGCCAACCTTCACACCGTCACGGCTACGCCGGCCACCTCACCGGCACGGTCACGGCCACGCCGGCCACCTCGCCGTCCTCACCGTTGGCTGCGTGTCCCGTCGGCGGCTGCAGGCGGAGGTGATGACGCTGCTCATGTACCTGTCGACGTGGAACGGCAAGATGCCGCAGCCGGCGGTGCTCAAGCCGCAGCCGCTGTGGACGGGCAAGCAGGTGTTCTCGCTCGTCATACCGGGGCAGATCAACTGCGTGCGGACGCACAGCACCCACCCGGACAACGAGGACAGTGGACCCTACCGCCACATCTCTCCCGGGGACACCAAGGCATGGCGGGCCCGGCCCACCGGCCCACCCACAGCAGCCCGCACACACCCACCCACGCCCACACCCACGCACACCCACCCACACCCACCCACGCTCATCCACCCACGCCCACCTACGCCCACCCACGCCCATCCACCCACACCCACCCACCCACGCCCACCCACGCCCATCCACCCACACCCACCCACGCCCATCCACCCACGCCCACCCACGCCCATCCACCCACACCCACCCACACCCACCCACGCCCATCCACCCACGCCCACCCACGCCCACCCACACCAGCCCACCCACGCCCACACGCCCACCCACACCCACGCCCACCCACCCACGCCCACCCACACCAGCCCACCCACGCCCACCCACGCCCACGCCCACCCACGCCCACCCACACCCACCCACACCAGCCCACCCACGCCCACCCACACCCACCCACACCAGCCCCCACACCGGCCCACCCCCACCCACCCACGCCCACCCACCCCCACACACGTGCGTACATGCACGCGCACAACCGTTGAACTCGCTTCGCAGCACCGTACGTAGCTGACCGTGATATAATCTCAGCTGCTGCTGTTGCCGCTTGCCGCCGCCGCCGCAGGTGATTGTGGAGAACGGCGAGCTGATCATGGGCATCCTGTGCAAGCGGTCGCTGGGCACGTCAGCCGGGTCGCTCGTCCACATCGTCTTCCTGGAGATGGGGCACGACACCACACGCCTCTTCTACAGCAACATCCAGACCGTCGTTAACAACTGGCTGCTCATAGAAGGTGGGGGGGACGGACGGTGGTGGTGGTGGTAGTGGTGGTGGTGGGGGGTGGCAGCCAATCAGCGCTGGTCTTGAGCTGGTGTGCGACTTGTTACGTGGATGGGGGTGGCGGTGTGGTGCCCTTTAGCCGGTCGTCCGGCTCTTGTCCTCCAAACACAACCGAGAAACCCCAAAAAATGTCAGTCTCGATTTGAAAGTTTTCGCGACTGCAGGGAAGTCCATGCTTTTCGGGTCCTTTGCGGTAAAGCAGAAAATAAAATTAATCGCGACGTTTCGGGCGCAGCGCAAGCGTCCACCGTCAGGCGGGGGAAAGAATGACTTGAACTTGTTTCGTTTGATTTCGATTTAAAGCTTTCGTGACTGCAATGATTCATCTTCTTTGGTTCTTTCGGTAAAGTCACCACGTAGAATGAGAATAAAATAATACATTGATAAAATAAAATAACACAATAATATTCTCACGACGTTTCGGCCACAACACAAGCGGCCTTCATCAGGTGAAGGGGGCGAGACTGTCTGGTAGGACAGCGCTGGAGTGAGAGAGCCACGTTCAGATCACGGCTTTTAAGCTGTGTGAGAGGAACAAAGATGAAGGCCGCTTGTGTTGTGGCCGAAACGTCGTGAGGATATTATTGTGTTATTTTATTTTATCAATTTATTATTTTATTCTCATTCTACGTGACTTTACCGAAAGAACCAAAGAAGTTGTTTCGTTTGGTTCGCGACTGCTTGTGCGGTGGTGGCGAGCCCAGCCATCCACAAATGATAGCCGCTGGACCCAAGTGGCTTCACCGTCACCACCACGGGGAAATGTATGGAAGCCAAAAACTCTTGAACGCGCGACGGCGATTCTACATGTGGATGGGGAAAAACCGGAGGACCTGGAGAAAAATCCACGGGAGAGAGAGAGAGAGAGACGCAGTCTCCAAATATACAGCAGCAGCAGCAGGCATCGTCAGGGTCGGGATCGAACCCCCACGACCTCCTGCGTACCAGGCGAGGTAGTCAACATCTCCTAGCCAACGTGATGATGATGATGAGAGAGAGACGCAGAATCCAAATATACAGCAGCAGCAGGCATCGTCAGGGTCGGGATGGAACCCACGATCTCCTGTATACCAGGCGAGTTAGTCAACATCTCATAGCCACCGTGATGATGATGATGAGAGAGAGACGCAGACTCCACATACAGCAGCAGGCATCGTCAGGGTCGGGATGGAACCCACGACCTCCTGTATACCAGGCGAGTTAGTCAACATCTCGACAGCCACCGTGATGATGATGAGAGAGAGAGACGCAGACTCCAAATATACAGCAGCAGGCATCATCAGGGTCGGGATCGAACCCACGACCTCCTGCACACCAGGCGAGGTAGTTAACATCTCCTAGCCACCGTGATGATGATGATGAGAGAGAGAGAGACGCAGACTCCAAATACACAGCAGCAGACGTGGTCAGGGTCGGGGTCGAACCCACGACCTCCTGTACACCAGGCGAGGTAGTTAACATCTCCTAGCCACCGTGGCACCCTCACGGAAGGCGCCGGGAAAGAAAGTTAGGCGCATGTGCAAATATGATCTGTGTTTGATATGGAAGTATGTGTGTGTGTGAACTTGTTTCACACCGTACATAGCCAACCATGCGGTGTGTAGAACTTGTTTCACACCGTACGTAGCCAACCGTGCTGTGTGTGTGAACTTCTTTCACACCGTACGTTCACCAATCGGCGCTAATCGGAGGTGCGGCTGCTTTGGTCTGCTTGTCCCCGCCGTGTGCCGTGCCAGGTCACTCCATCGGCATTGGAGACTCCATCGCCGACGCCAAGACCTACCAGGACATCCAGAACACCATCAAGAAAGCCAAGCAGGACGTGATAGAGGTGGGTAAGGTGGTGTTGGTGTTGGGGACACCCACAGACCCAACGCAGAGACCCACAGATCCAACGCAGAGACCCACAGAGACCCACAGACTCACGCAGAGACCCACAGACTCACGCAGAGACCCACAGACTCACACAGAGACCCACAGAGACTCAACGCAGAGACCCACAGACTCACACAGAGACCCACAGACTCAACACAGAGACCCACAGACTCACACAGAGACCCACAGACTCACGCAGAGACCCACAGACTCAACGCAGAGACCCACAGACTCACACAGAGACCCACAGACTCGCACAGAGACCCACAGACTTGCACAGAGACCCACAGACCCAACACAGAGACCCACAGACTCACACAGAGACCCACAGACTCACACAGAGACCCACAGACCCAACGCAGAGACCCACAGAGACCCAACGCAGAGACCCACAGACTCAACACAGAGACCCACAGACTCAACACAGAGACCCACAGACTCAACACAGAGACCCACAGACTCAACACAGAGACCCACAGACTCAACACAGAGACCCACAGAGACCCAACGCAGAGACCCAACACAGAGACCCACAGACTCACACAGAGACCCACAGACTCACACAGAGACCCACAGAGACTCAACGCAGAGACCCACAGAGACTCAACGCAGAGACCCACAGACTCAACGCAGAGACCCACAGACTCAACGCAGAGACCCACAGACTCAACGCAGAGACCCACAGACTCAACACAGAGACCCACAGACTCAACGCAGAGACCCACAGACCCAACGCAGAGACCCACAGACTCATACAGAGACCCACAGACTCACACAGAGACCCACAGACCCAACGCAGAGACCCACAGACTCACACAGAGACCCACAGACTCACACAGAGACCCACAGACTCACACAGAGACCAACACAGACTCAATGCAGAGACCCAACACAAACTCAACGCAGAGACCCAACGCAGAGACCCAACGCAGAGACCCAACGCAGAGACCCAACGCAGAGACCCAACGCAGAGACCCAACGCAGAGACCCAACGCAGAGACCCAACGCAGAGACCCAACGCAGAGACCCAACGCAGAGACCCAACGCAGAGACCCACAGACTCACACAGAGACCCACAGACACCCAACACAGAGACCCACAGACACCCAACACAGAGACCCACAGACACCCAACACAGAGACCCACAGACACCCAACACAGAGACCCACAGACACCCAACACAGAGACTCACAGACACCCAACACAGAGACCCACAGACACCCAACACAGAGACCCACAGACACCCAACACAGAGACCCACAGACTCACACAGAGACCCACAGACCCAACGCAGAGACTCACACAGACTCAACACAGAGACCCACAGACTCAACGCAGAGACTCACACAGACCCAACGCAGAGACCCACAGAGACCCAACACAGACCCAACACAGAGACCCACAGACTCGCACAGAGACCCAACGCAGCATCTGTGTTTGACCGCGCGTGGTGCAGGTGATCGAGAAGGCTCACAACAACGAGCTGGAGCCCACCCCGGGCAACACCCTGCGGCAGACGTTTGAGAACCAGGTCAACCGCATCCTGAACGACGCTCGCGACAAGACTGGATCCAGCGCGCAGAAGTCGCTCTCGGAGTACAACAACTTCAAGTCCATGGTGGTGGCTGGCTCCAAGGGCTCCAAGATCAACATCTCGCAGGTACGGCCACAGACAGAGGTCCCCCGGGTAGCCTCTGACAGGGCTGTAGGGGCAAGTGCTGTTAGTAGTGAGCAGCACCTATAAACACAGACAAAGGTCCCCTGTGTAGTCTCTAACAGCCTGTATGGGCAAGTGCTGTGAGTAGCGAGCAGCACCTATAGACACACAGACAAAGGTCCCCCGTGTAGTCTCTAACAGCCTGTGGGGGCAAGTGCTGTGAGTAGCGAGCAGCACCTGTAGACACACAGACAAAGATCCCCCGTGTAGCCTCTAGCAGGCTGTAGGGGCAAGTGCTGTGAGTAGCGAGCAGCACCTATAGACACACAGACAAAGATCCCCCGTGTAGCCTCTAGCAGCCTGTGGGGGCAAGTGCTGTGAGTAGCGAGCAGCACCTGTAGACACACAGACAAAGATCCCCCGTGTAGCCTCTAGCAGGCTGTAGGGGCAAGTGCTGTGAGTAACAGCAGCACCTATAGACACACAGACAAAGGTCCCCCGTGTAGTCTCTAACAGCCTGTGGGGGCAAGTGCTGTGAGTAGCGAGCAGCGCCTGTAGACACCTCACGTGTCCCCACGTGCCCCCCACGTTGCCAGGTCATCGCGGTGGTGGGTCAGCAGAACGTGGAGGGCAAGCGGATCCCGTTTGGCTTCAAGCACCGCACGCTGCCGCACTTCATCAAGGACGACTACGGGCCCGAATCGCGCGGCTTCGTGGAGAACTCCTACCTGGCCGGCCTCACGCCAACAGAGTTCTTCTTCCACGCCATGGGCGGTCGCGAGGGCCTCATCGACACGGCCGTCAAGACGGCCGAGACCGGTGGGTGTTGGGCCCTCGCTTGGATCGATGGATGGGATGGGGCGGGGGTAATCGATCGGTCCGCTCGCCCAATCGATGGCTCGCTCAATCAATGGCTCAGTCGATTGCTCGCCCGCTCGGTCGTTCGCTCGCTCACTCCCTCGATCGCCCGCTCGCTCATTTGCTCGCTCAGTCGCTCGTTTGATTGAGCGATGGATCGGCAGGATGCGCACACGCACCTCATGCGACGTTGGTTTACCCTGCGGGATAACCCAACCGGTAAAGGGGGGTATCCCACTGTAATTCGCATGCGAACATTAACCCCACCTCTATTGCCTCCGTGCAGCCTGCCTGGCTAACAAGTGACGACATCACCTCTATCCCACCTCTATCTAATCGTTGTTGTGGTCGTTGTTGTTGTTGTTGCCATAATTACCGGCGAAACCTCACGGTACTCGAATGTGTAAATGTTGTAGTGGGTTTAACTCTCCAACACACAGCAACCGGTTAGTGCTGTACTAGTAACGAATTGTAAATGTTGTAGTGGGTTTAACTCTCCACCACACAGCAATTGGTTAGTGCTGTACTAGTAACGAATTGTTGATGTTTCAGTGGGTTTAACTCTCCAACACACAGCAACCGGTTAGTGCTGTACTAGTAACGAATTGTAAATGTTGTAGTGGGTTTAACTCTCCAACACACAGCAACCGGTTAGTGCTGTACTAGTAACGAATTGTAAATGTTGTAGTGGTTTAACTCTCCAACACACAGCAACTGGTTAGTGCTGTACTAGTAACGAATTGTTGATGTTTCAGTGGGTTTAACTCTCCAACACACAGCTACCGGTTAGTGCTGTACTAGTAACGAATTGTAAATGTCAGTGGGTTTAACTCTCCAATACACAGCAACCGGTTAGTGCTGTACTAGTAACGAATTGTAAATGTTGTGGTGGGTTTAACTCTCCAACACACAGCAACCGGTTAGTGCTGTACTAGTAACGAATTGTAAATGTTGTAGTGGGTTTAACTCTCCAGCACACAGCAACCGGTTAGTGCTGTACTAGTAACGAATTGTAAATGTCACAGTGGGTTTAACTCTCCAATACACAGCAACCGGTTAGTGCTGTACTAGTAACGAATTGTAAATGTTGTAGTTTGTTTAACTCTCCAGCACACAGCAACCGGTTAGTGCTGTACTAGTAACGAATTGTAAATGTCGTAGTGGGTTTAACTCTCCAACACACAGCAACCGGTTAGTGCTGTACTAGTAATGAATTGTAAATGTTGTAGTGGGTCTAACTCTCCAACACACAGCAACCGGTTAGTGCTGTACTAGTAACGAATTGTAAATGTTGTAGTGGGTTTAACTCTCCAACACACAGCAACCGGTTAGTGCTGTACTAGTAACGAATTGGCTACGTTCTGTTTACGTGACGCAAACCCCATAAACGAACTGGCCGTGTGGGGCGTTGACGGGGTTTAACGACACAACATTTCCATATAATAATAGGGGGGTTTCCCCCTTTATAATAGTGGGTTTTTCCCCCTCTTTTTTTCTGTCAACAAAACTGAAACCTTTCTTTTACAAGGAATCATCTTACTGCATTAACCACAATGCAAACAAGAGAGACACACTGATAATACGATGCATCGTCCTTGAAACCGATTTCCACGCTCGCGCGCGCGCGTCCCAAGCCCCCGTGCGGAATGGCGCCGTGCGCACGTTCACGGGCGGAACACCGCGGCAAGCGTAGCGGACACGAGGCACAAACGTAGCAGACACGAGGCACAAGCGTAGCAGACACGAGGCACAAACGTAGCGGACACGAGGCACAAACGTAGCGGACACGAGGCACAAACGTAGCGGACACGAGGCACAAACGTAGCGGACACGAGGCACAAACGTAGCAGACACGAGGCACAAACGTAGCAGACACGAGGCACAAACGTAGCGGACACGAGGCACAAACGTAGCGGACACGAGGCACAAACGTAGCGGACACGAGGCACAAACGTAGCAGACACGAGGCGCAAACGTAGCAGACACGAGGCACAAACGTAGCGGACATGAGGCACAAACATAGCAGACACGAGGCACAAACGTAGCGGACACGAGGCACAAACGTAGCAGACACGAGGCACAAACGTAGCGGACACGAGGCACAAACGTAGCAGACACGAGGCACAAACGTAGCAGACAGGAGGCACAAACGTAGCAGACACGAGGCACAAACGTAGCAGACACGAGGCACAAACGTAGCGGACACGAGGCACAAACGTAGCAGACACGAGGCACAAACGTAGCGGACACGAGGCACAAACGTAGCAGACAGGAGGCACAAACGTAGCAGACAGGAGGCACAAACGTAGCGGACACGAGGCACAAACGTAGCAGACACGAGGCACAAACGTAGCAGACACGAGGCACAAACGTAGCAGACACGAGGCACAAACGTAGCAGACACGAGGCACAAACGTAGCAGACACGAGGCACAAACGTAGCGGACACGAGGCACAAACGTAGCGGACACGAGGCGCAAACGTAGCAGACACGAGGCACAAACGTAGCGGACACGAGGCACAAACGTAGCAGACACGAGGCACAAACGTAGCAGACACGAGGCACAAACGTAGCAGACACGAGGCACAAACGTAGCGGACACGAGGCACAAACGTAGCAGACATGAGGCACAAACGTAGCAGACACGAGGCACAAACGTAGCAGACACGAGGCACAAACGTAGCGGACACGAGGCACGAGGCACAAACGTAGCAGACACGAGGCACAAACGTAGCGGACACGAGGCACAAACGTAGCAGACACGAGGCACAAACGTAGCAGACACGAGGCACAAACGTAGCGGACACGAGGCACAAACGTAGCGGACACGAGGCACAAGCGTAGCAGACACGAGGCACAAACGTAGCGGACACGAGGCACAAACGTAGCAGACACGAGGCGCAAACGTAGCAGACACAAGGCACAAACGTAGCAGACACGAGGTGCAAACGTAGCAGACACGAGGCACAAACGTAGCAGACACGAGGCACAAACGTAGCAGACACGAGGCACAAACGTAGCAGACACGAGGCACAAACGTAGCAGACAGGAGGCACAAACGTAGCAGACACGAGGCGCAAACGTAGCAGACACGAGGCACAAACGTAGCAGACACGAGGTGCAAACGTAGCAGACACGAGGCACAAACGTAGCAGACAGGAGGCACAAACGTAGCAGACACGAGGCGCAAACGTAGCAGACAGGAGGCACAAACGTAGCAGACACGAGGCACAAACGTAGCAGACACGAGGCACAAACGTAGCAGACACGAGGCACAAACGTAGCAGACACGAGGCACAAACGACACCAACGCGCCTGACCCCCCCCCCACGCTCCCTCGCTCGCGCGCAGGTTACATCCAACGGCGACTCATCAAGTCGATGGAGTCGGTGATGGTGAAGTATGATGGGACGGTGCGCAACGGCATCAACCAGGTCATCCAACTGCGCTACGGGGAGGACGGCCTCGCGGCCGAGCACGTGGAGTTCCAGAACCTGTCCACTCTGAAGCCCTCCGACAAGGCCTTCGAGAAGAAGTAACCCCCCACCCCACCCCCCTCGGCGCTCGCGGGCGCTCGGTCGATGTCGCTCGGTCGCTCAGTCGCTCGCTCACCCGTTCACTCGCTCGCTCACCTGTTCACTCGCTCGCTCACCCGTTCGCTCCCTCGCTCGCTCACCTGTTCACTCGCTCGCTCCCTCGCTCACCCGTTCACTCGCTCGCTCACCCGTTCACTCGCTCGGTCACTCGCTCACCTGTTCACTCGCTCGCTCACCTGTTCACTCGCTCGCTCGCCCGATCGCTCGCTCCCTCGCTCGCCCGTTCACTCGCTCGCTCCCTCGCTCGCTCACCCATTCACTCGCTCGCTCACCTGTTCACTCACTCGCTCACCCGTTCACTCGCTCGGTCACTCGTTCACCTGTTCACTCACTCGCTCACCCGTTCACTCGCTCGGTCGCTCGCTCACCTGTTCGCTCGCTCGCCCGTTCGCTCGCTCCCTCGCTCGCCCGTTCACTCGCTCGCTCCCTCGCTCGCTCACCCGTTCACTCGCTCGCTCACCTGTTCACTCACTCGCTCACCCGTTCACTCGCTCGGTCACTCGCTCACCCGTTCACTCGCTCGCTCACCTGTTCACTCGCTCGCTCCCTCGCTCACCTGTTCATTCGCTCGCTCACCCGTTCACTCGCTTGGTCGCTCGCTCACCCGTTCACTCGCTCGGTCGCTCGCTCACCTGTTCACTCCCTCACTTGCTCGGTGGCTCACTTGTCCACACTTCAGAATCGACGTCACGCGTTCAAATGCAATTTGTCTATAAATCGCCGCGCTACGATGAGCTCGCTTGGCTGAGCTGCGGTCCGCAATGGGCCAAGGCAATTGGGGGGGCGGGGGGGGCCTTACACCCGGCGAAATAAAAACAAAAAATAGTGAAATAATCTTGAGAGTATTTGGCTGCTCCGGCCTGCTCTAGATTTCTACACGATGGTGACACGCCACCAGTTGGGGCCTCTGCGTGCGTGTCTGTGTCTGCGTGCGCGTGTCTCTTGTGTGCGTCTGTGTCTGCGTGTCTCTGCGTGCGTGTCTGCACGTGTCTCTGCGTGTGTCTCTGCGTGTGTCTCTGCGTGTGTCTCTGCGTGTGTCTCTGCGTGCGTCTCTGCGTGCATTTGTGCGTGCGTGTCTCTGCGTGCGTGTCTCTGCGTGCGTGTCTCTGCGTGCGTGTCTCTGCGTGCGTGTCTCTGCGTGCGTGTCTCTGCGTGCGTGTCTCTGCGTGCGTGTCTCTGCGTGCGTGTCTCTGAGCGCGTGTCTCTGCGGGCGTGTCTGCGCGTGCATTTGCGCGCGTGTCTCTGCGTGTCTGCGCGCGTGTCTCTGCGTGTCTCTGCGTGTCTCTGCGTGTCTGCGCGTGTCTCTGCGTGTCTCTGCGTGTCTCTGCGTGTCTCTGCGTGTCTCTGCGTGTCTGTGCGTGCGTCTGCTCGTGCCTGCGGATCTCTCCTGCGTGTCTCATGCCTCCGTGTCCGGGCGTGTCCCCCCCCCACCCCCCGTGTGTGCTCGCAGGTACAAGTTCGACTTTGCTAACGAGCGCGCCATGCGGCGCTGCCTGCAGGAGGAGGTGGTGAACGACATCATGAGCAACGCGCACGTCCAGAACGAGCTGGACAAGGAGTTTGACCGCATCCGCTCCGACAGGGACACGCTCCGCTCCGTGTTTCCCACGGGCGACAGCAAGGTGACGCGCGCGTGCCGTGTCTCCCGTGTCTCCCGTGTCTCACCGTGTCTCACCATGTCTCCGTGTCTCACCATGTCTCGCCGTGCCTCGCCGTGTCTCACTGTCTCGCCGTGTCTCACTGTCTCGCCGTGTCTCGCCATGTCTCACCGTGTCTCACCGTGTCTCCCGTGTCTCACCCTTCCCCCCGTGTCTCGCCGTGTCTCACCGTGTCTCACCGTGTCTCCCGTGTCTCGCCGTGCCTCGCCGTGTCTCGCCGTGTCTCGCCATGTCTCACCCTTCCCCCCCGTGTCTCGCCATGTCTCACCCTTCCCCCCGTGTCTCACCGTGTCCATGGACGTGCCCTGTGCAGGTGGTGCTGCCGTGCAACTTGATGCGCATGATCTGGAACGCTCAGAAGATCTTCCACATCAACACGCGCCAGCCCACTGACATCAACCCCCTGCGCATCATCGAGGGTGCGTGGCGGTGGTGGCGGTGGTGGCGGTGGTGGCGGTGGTGGTGGTGGTGGTTGTTGGTGGTGGTGGTGGTTGTTGGTGGTGGTGGTGGTTGTTGTTGGTGGTGGTTGGTGGTGGTTGTTGTTGACGGCAGTGTAGCAAGTGGTGGTGATTGTTGTTGGTGGTTGTTGTTGGCGGTGGTGTGGCGGTTGGTGTTGGCGGTGGTGTGGCGGTTGGTGGTGGTTGTTGTTGTTGTTGGTTGTTGTTGACGGCGGTTGCTGGCGGTGGTTGTTGTATTTGGTGGTGTAGCGGTTGTTGTTGTTGACGGCGGTGGTTGTTGTTGTTGGTGTAGCGGTGAGCGCTATGAACCCCGGCGACCCCCGAATCCGATTCCCACTCGCGACCACCGACGCCGGCACTGACGCTTACCTGAACCTGCCCTGCCTGGGAACCCCCCCTAGGTCGACTCGGCCTCAAATGAGTAGCTGGTGTAGCGGTGTGTAGCGAACGTCGTCACTGGGGAGACAAAGGCGGCCGGGCGCGGTGGTGCTGACCGCCGCTCGGCACCCACCCCCTCCCGCGGCCCGCCGAGGCGACACGGGCCGGGGTGGAGATCTTCGCCCGTTGCCCCCCGACCCGTGCCAGATTCTTCTTTTTTTTGCTGCTGCTGTTGCTGCTGCTGCAGGCGTCCAGGAGCTGAGCAAGCGCCTGATGATCGTGAAGGGCGACGACCCGCTGAGCCGCCAGGCACAGGAGAACGCCACGCTGCTCCTCAACTGCCACGTGCGCTCGACGCTGTGCGCCCGCCGCGTCACCGAGGAGTTCCGACTCTCGCTACAGGCCTTCGAGTGGCTGCTGGGCGAGATCGAGGCGCGGTTCAACTACGCCATCGTGAGTCGCTCGCTCGCTAAGACGCTCGCTAACACACTCGCTAAGACGCACACACACTCGCTAAGATGCACACACACTCGCTAAGACGCTCGCTAAGACGCACACACACTCGCTAAGACGCTCGCACGCACGCTAAGACGCACGCTCGCTCACACACACATACACACGCTCACTAAGACGCTCACTAAGACGCACACACGCTAAGACGCTCGCTCACACACACACACGCTCACTAAGACGCACGCTCGCACGCAGCCACCGCTGCCACCACGACGCCCTCGCCGGCTACGCGCCGCGGTGTTCACCGGGCCGGGCTCCGAGTGCCGAACGTCGTCTGGGGGTGGGGGGGAGGGGGGTGCGGCCCACTTGCGCGTCTCGGGGAGCAGCAGGTTGTGACGTTCGGTTTTCATTTTCTATCCTCCGTTTGTCTCTCTCACACTCACACACACTGCCACCTCCCTCTCTCCTCTCTCTCTTCCTCCCTCTCCTCTATAAACCTCCCCTTCCTCCCTACCTCTCTCCCTCCCTACCTCTCTCCTCCCTCTGTTCTCTCTCTCTCTCTGTCTTCCTCCCTCTCCTCTATAAACCTCCCCTCTCTCCCTCCCTACCTCCCTCCCTACCTCTCTCCCTCCCTACCTCTCTCCCTACCTCTCTCCCTATCTCCCTCCCTACCTACCTCTCTCCCTCCCTACCTCTCTCCCTCCCTACCTCTCTCCCTACCTCCCTCCCTCTCTCCCTACCTCTCTCCCTACCTCTCTCCCTCTCTCCCTCCCTACCTCCCTACCTCCCTCCCTCCCTACCTCCCTACCTCCCTCCCTCCCTACCTCCCTCCCTCCTTACCTCCCTCCCTCCCTCCCTACCTCTCTCCCTCCCTACCTCTCTCCCTCCCTACCTCTCTCCCTACCTCCCTCCCTACCTCTCTCCCTCCCTACCTCTCCCTCTCTCCCTACCTCCCTCCCTACCTCCCTCTCTCCCTCCCTCTCTCCCTACCTCTCTCCTCCCTCTGTTCTCTCTCTCTCTGTCTTCCTCCCTTTCCTCCCTATAAACCTCCCCTACCTCTCTCCTTACCTCTCTCCCTCTTCCACTCCTCCCCTCCCTCCTTTCCCTGACCCCCCCCCCTCTCCCTCCCCCCTCCCCCCCCCCCACGCCACGCGCCAGGTCCACCCCGGCGAGATGGTCGGTGCTCTGGCGGCGCAGTCGCTGGGGGAGCCGGCCACCCAGATGACGCTGAACACCTTCCACTACGCCGGCGTGTCGGCCAAGAACGTGACGCTGGGCGTGCCGCGTCTCAAGGAGCTCATCAACATCTCCAAGAAGCCCAAGACGCCCTCGCTCACCGTCTTCCTCACCGGGCAGCCGGCACGCGACGCTGAGCGCGCCAAGGTGAGCGGCGGTGGTGGAGGCGGTGGGGGTTGTGGTGGTGGTGGAGGCGGTGGTGGTGGGGGAGGCGGTGGTGGTGGTGGGGGAGGTGGTGGTGGTGGGGGAGGTGGTGGTGGTGGGGGAGGTGGTGGTGGAGGCGGTGGTGGTGGTGGAGGCGGTGGTGGTGGTGGAGGCGGTGGTGGTGGAGGCGGTGGTGGTGGCGGCGGTGGTGGAGGCGGTGGTGGTGGAGGCGGTGGTGGAGGCGGTGGTGGTGGTGGAGGCGGTGGCGGTGGTGGTGGTGGGGGAGGTGGAGGCGGTGTAGGCGGTGGTGGTGGTGTTGGCGGTGGTGGTGGTGGTGTTGGCGGTGGTGGTGGTGGAGGCGGTGATGGTGGAGCTGGAGGTGGTGGTGGTGGTGATGGTGGTGGCGGTGGTGGTGCAGTATAAATCATCAAGTGAACTGCGGTCATCTTTCCCTAGCAGTGGTTTCTGGCTCAGCTGTCGAACTCAGTCGGTGGCGGTGGTGGTGGTCACCCCATCATCGTCTTCATCTGGCTACTGTGATGCCACTTTTAAATCGTCGTCATCTAGATTGACAAACTCATTTCGTGAGAAGCGCTTAGCACGGTTGGCTACGTCCGGTGCGAAAGAAGTTTGACGCACATACGTACTAAGGACACGCACGCACGTACACACGCACATACACACGCACGTACACACGCACCTACACACGCACGTACACACGCACCTACACACGCACGTACACACGCACCTACACACGCACGTACAAAGACAAAGACAAAGATCCCCCATATAGCCTTAACAGACTGTAGGGGCAAGTGCTGTTAGCGAGCACCTATGAAGGCTGGAACGGTACACGAGGGGGTGGGTGGCCAGCACCACGCCCGACTGCCTTTGTCTCCCTAGTGGCAATGTTTACACACCGCACCAGGTACTCATTTGAGGCTGAGTCGACCTAGGGGAGGCCCGGGACCGGTTCAGATAATCGTCACTGGTGTTGGCCGTGAGCGGGAATCGAACCTGGGTCGCCAGGTTCATAGCGCAGCGTAGCGCTAACCGCTACACTATCGCTCCCCACACGCACGTACACACGCACGTACACACGCACGTACACACGCACCTGCACACGCACCTGCACACGCACGTTCACGCACCTACACACGCACGTACACACGCACGTACACACGCATGTACACGTACGCACACACGTACACACGTGTGTGTGTGTCCTTGATACCACGTCACCTCAGTCCTGACTCTCTCATCCGTCGTCTCACTTGTTCCCTCTCTCCCTCCCCTCTCTCTCTCCTCCCTCCCTCCCTCTCCCTTCCTCCCCTCCCCTCCCCTCTCCTCCCCCCCCGGCCCCCGACCGCAGGACATCCTGTGCCGGCTGGAGCACACGACGCTCCGCAAGGTGACGGGCAACACGGCCATCTACTACGACCCGGAGCCCCAGAGCACGGTGGTGTCGGAGGACCAGGAGTGGGTGAACGTGTACTACGAGATGCCCGACTTCGACGTGGCGCGCATCTCTCCCTGGCTGCTGCGCGTCGAGCTCGACCGCAAGCACATGACCGACAAGAAGCTCACCATGGAGCAGATCGCCGAGAAGATCAACGCCGGTGAGGGCGCGGTGCGGGCCGGCGGTGGTGCCGGTGGCGGTCAAGTTGGCGGTGGCGGCGTGTGTGAAGTTGGTGGTGGTGGTGGCGATGTAGGTGGGAACGGTGGTGAAGTTGGTGGTGGTGGTGGCGGCCATGTAGGTGGGAGCGGTGGTGAAGTTGGTGGTGGTGGTGGTGATAGCGGTGGTGAAGTTGGTGGTGGTGGTGACGATGTAAGTGGGAGCGGCGGTGAAGTTGGTGGTGGCGATGTAGGTGGGAGCGGTGGTGAAGTTGGTGGTGGCGGTGGTGGTGATAGCGGTGGTAAAGGCGACGTTGGCGATGGCGGTGGTGACGGTGGTGAAGTTGGCAGTGAAGTTGGCAGTGGTGGGTGTGATGGCGGTGGTAAAGTTGGTGATGTTGGAGTTGGCGGTGGTGATGTTGGTGGTGGCGGTAGGAGCGGGATCGGTGCGGGATCGGGGGGGCGGTACGTTAGTCGGTGGGACCGGTGTTGCGTGACCGTGTGCACCTAGCCTGGCACGGGCGCCGGGTTGCCAGCACCGCCGCTTAGTGACGCTGTTGTTGTGGTTGTTGTGGTTGTTGTTGTGGTTGTTGTGGTTGTTGTTGTGGTTGTTGTTGTGGTGGTGGCACCTCAACCTGGCCCCGCCCCCGGCTCCCCCCAGGTTTTGGCGACGACCTCAACTGCATCTTCAACGACGACAACGCCGAGAAGCTGGTGCTGCGGATCCGCATCATGAACAGCAGCGATAACAAATATCAGGACGTGAGTCTCGCACCGCGAACCCACGACCTCCTGCACACCGGGCGAGGTAGTCAACATCTCCTAGCCACCGTTATGACGACGATGAGAGAGAGACACGCAAACTCCAAATATAAAACAGGTGTCAGGGTCGGAATCGAACGCACGACCTCCTGTAGACCAGGCGAGGTAGTCAACATCTCCTAGCCACCGTTATGATGATGATGAGAGAGAGACGCAGACTCCAAATATACAGCAGCAGCAGCAGGCATCGTCAGGGTCGAGATCGAACCCACGACCTCCTGTATACCAGGCGAGGTAGTAAACATCTCTCTGTCTGTGTCTCTGTCTCTCTCTCTCTCTGTGTCTCTGTCTCTGTGTCTCTGTCTCTCTCTCTCTGTGTCTCTGTCTCTCTGTGTCTCTGTCTCTCTCTCTATCTGTGTCTCTGTCTCTCTCTCTGTGTCTCTGTCTCTCTCTCTGTGTCTCTCTCTCTGTGTCTCTCTCTCTGTGTCTCTCTCTCTGTGTCTCTCTCTCTGTGTCTCTGTGTCTCTCTCTCTGTGTCTCTGTGTCTCTCTCTCTGTGTCTCTCTCTCTGTGTCTCTCTGTGTCTCTGTGTCTCTGTCTCTCTGTGTCTCTGTCTCTGTGTCTCTCTGTGTCTCTGTGTCTCTGTGTCTCTGTCTCTGTGTCTCTGTCTCTGTGTCGTCTGCGCCCCACCGGGCAGGAGGAGGAGATTGTGGACAAGATGGACGACGATGTCTTCCTGCGCTGCATCGAGGCCAACATGCTGACTGACATGACGCTGCAGGGCATTGAGCAGATCACCAAGGTGGGGGGGTGGTGGTGGGGGGTGGTGTGGTGGGGGGTGGTGGTGGGGGGTGGTGGTGGTGGGGGGGGGGGCGAGCGGGGTGGTCGTGAGCCGGGCGGGACTCGTGTGTTTGTCTGCACTCACGTGTGTGTGTGTATGTACGTACGTTTGTGTGTGGGTGTGGGTACGCGTGTTTGTGCGTGTGAGCGTGTGTACGTGTGTGTGTACGCGTGTATGTGTGTGTACGCGTGTGTGTGCGTGAGCGCGTGTGTATGTGTGTGTGCGCGTGTACGCGTGAGTGCACGTGTGTGTGTACGCGTGAGCGCGTGCGTGTGTGTGTACGTGTGAGCGCGTGTGAGTGCGTGTACGTGTGAGCGCGTGTGTACGTGCGTGTGTACGCGTGTGTGTGTACGTGTGTGTGTACGTGTGTGTGTGTGTACGTGTGCACGTGCGTGTGCGTGTACACCCCAACCCCCTCGTGCTGCGCCACCGTTTCCGCCCTCCGCAGTTTCCCACTCGCCAAACAGCCGCTCTGTCAAGGCCGCTCTGTGGGGGGTCTTTGCCTTTTGTCGCCCGCGTTGGCACGGCTTGACCGCCCCGCCCCCCGCACGTGCAGGTGTACATGCACCTGCCCCAGACGGACGACAAGAAGCGCATCACCCTGACGGAGGAGGGGGAGTTCAAGGCGCTGCAGGAGTGGATCCTGGAGACGGACGGCGTGAGCCTCATGAAGGTCCTGTCCGAGAAGGACGTCGACCCCGTGAGGACCACCTCCAACGACATCGTGGAGATCTTCACGGTGAGGGCGGGGGGGGGAGGGGGGGGGAAGGGGGGGGGGAAGGGCTCACCTCCGCCCCAACGCTCACCCCCACACCCCAACGCTCGCCCCCACGCTCACCCCCACACCCCAACACCCCCACGCTCACCCCCACACCCCAACACTCACCTCCACCCCCACACCCCAACGCTCGCCCCCACGCTCACCCCCACACCCCAACACCCCAACGCTCACCCCCACACCCCCACACTCACCCCCACACCCCAACACTCACCCCCACACCCCCACGCTCACCCCCACACCCCAGCGCTCACCCCAACACTCACCCCAACACTCACCCCAACACTCACCCCAACACCCCAACGCTCACCCCCACACCCCAACGCTCACCCCCACACCCCGACACTCACCTCCACCCCCACACCCCAACACTCACCCCCACACCCCAACACTCACCCCCACACCCCAACACTCACCCCCACACCCCGACACTCACCCCCACACCCCAACACTCACCCCAACACTCACCCCAACACTCACCCCAACACTCACCCCCACACTCACCCCCACACCCCCACACTCACCCCCACACCCCAACACTCACCCCCACACCCCGACACTCACCCCCACACCCCAACACTCACCCCAACACTCACCCCAACACTCACCCCAACACTCACCCCAACACTCACCCCCACACTCACCCCCACACCCCAACACTCACCCCCACACCCCAACACTCACCTCCACCCCCACACCCCAACACTCACCCCCACACCCCAACACTCACCCCAACACCTCAACACTCACCCCCACACCCCCACGCTCACCCCAACACCCCCACGCTCACCCCAACACCCCAACACTCATCCCCACACACCCCAACACTCACCCCAACACCCCAACACTCATCCCCACACACCCCAACACTCACCCCCACACCCCAACACTCACCCCAACACTCACCCCCACGCTCACCCCCACACCCCAACACTCACCCCCACACCCCAACACTCACCCCCACACCCCAACACTCACCCCCACACCCCGACACTCACCTCCACCCCCACACCCCAACACTCACCCCCACACCCCAACACTCACCCCAACACTCACCCCCACACCCCAACACTCACCCCAACACCCCCACGCTCACCCCAACACCCCAACACTCATCCCCACACACCCCAACACTCACCCCAACACCCCAACACTCATCCCCACACACCCCAACACTCACCCCCACACCCCAACACTCACCCCAACACTCACCCCCACGCTCACCCCCACACCCCAACACTCACCCCCACACCCCAACACTCACCCCCACACCCCCACGCTCACCCCAACACGCTCACCCCAACACCCCAACACTCATCCCCACACACCCCAACACTCACCCCAACACCCCAACACTCATCCCCACACACCCCAACACTCACCCCCACACCCCAACACTCACCCCAACACCCCCACGCTCACCCCCACACCCCAACACTCACCCCCACACCCCAACACTCACCCCCACACCCCCACGCTCGCCCCCACGCTCACCCGTGCCCCCCCCACTGCAGGTGCTGGGCATTGAGGCGGTGCGCAAGGCGCTGGAGCGTGAGCTGCACCACGTCATCTCCTTTGACGGCTCCTACGTGAACTACCGCCACCTGGCGCTGCTGTGCGACACCATGACGTGCCGGGGGCACCTCATGGCCATCACGCGCCACGGAGTCAACCGGCAGGACACGGGGGCACTCATGAAGTGCTCCTTTGAAGAGACGGTGAGCGGGGGGTGAGGGTGGTGGGGTGAGCGGGGGGGGGTGGGTGGGGGGGTGAGGGTGGGTGGGTGGATGGGCGGGTGGGCGGGTGGGTGGGTGAGTTGGTGGGTGGATGGGCTTGTGGGTGGGCGTGTGGGTGGGTGAATGGGCGTGTGGGTGGGTGGATGGGCGTGTGGGTGGGTGGATGGGCGTGTGGGTGGGTGAGTGGGTGGGTGGGTGAGTGGGTGGATGGGCGTGTGGGTGGGTGGATGGGCGTGTGGGTGGGTGGATGGGCGTGTGGGTGGGTGGATGGGCGTGTGGGTGGGCGGATGGGCGTGTGGGTGGGCGGATGGGCGTGTGGGTGGGCGGATGGGCGTGTGGGTGGGCGGATGGGCGAGTGGATGGGCGTGTGGGTGGGTGAGTGGGTGGGCGGATGGGCGTGTGCATGGGCGGATGGGCGTGTGGGTGGGCGGATGGGCGTGTGGGTGGGCGGATGGGCGTGTGGGTGGGCGGATGGGCGTGTGGGTGGGCGGATGGGCGTGTGGGTGGGTTGATGGGCGTGTGGGTGGGTGGATGGGCGTGTAGGTGGGCGAGTGGGTGGGCGAGTGGGTGGGCGAGTGGATGGGCGAGTGGATGGGCGTGTGGGTGGGTGAGTGAGTGAGTGGGTGGATGGGCGTGTGGGTGGGTGAGCGAGAGAGAGAGAGACGCAGACTCCACAACCGGCATCGTCGGGGATCGGGATTGAACCCACGGCCTTCTGCGCCCCGAGCGAGGGAGATAACATCCCCCCCCCTCCCTCCCCTCCCTCTCCCCCCTCCCCTCCCTCTCCCCCCTCCCTCCCCTCCCCCCCCCGCAGGTGGACGTGCTGATGGAGGCGGCGTCCCACGCCGAGGTGGACCCCATGAAGGGCGTCTCCGAGAACATCATGCTGGGCCAGCTGGCGCCTGCCGGCACCGGCTGCTTCGACCTGCTGCTCGACGCCGAGAAGTGCAAGTTCGGCATGGAGATCCCCACCAACATCGGCGCGCTGGGCATCGGGGCTCGTACGTACACACACGCACACGTACACACACACACACGCGTACACACACACACGCGTACACGCACGTACACACACGCACGTACACACACGCACGTACACACACACGCACACGTACACACGTACACACACACACACGTACACACACGCACGTACACACACACACGTACACGCACGCGTACACACACACACGTACACACACACACACGTACACACACACGCGCACACGCACGCGTACACACACGCACGTACACGCACGCGTACACACACGCACGTACACGCACGCGTACACACACGCACGTACACACACACACACGCACGTACACACGCGTTTTCACACACGCGCGCGTGCACACAGACAAACGCACGTATACGTTATGCCATGGCCGTCATCTAACTGTGTTTTTGTGTGTGTCTGTGTGATGCCCCCCACCACTGGGACCCTCCCCCCCCCCCCCCCCCCCCCCGTGCCCCCCCCACCCCCCGTGTCTCCATAGCAACGGGGATGTTCTTCGGTGCCGTGGGCAGCCCCTCGTCCGGGATGTCTCCGGCCATGACGCCCTGGAACCAGTCGGCAACGCCGGCCTACGGCGCCTGGTCCCCCGGCATCGGTAGCCACCGCCACCGCCTACCTGCCTGCCGACACACACGCCTAGACACACACCTAGACACACACCTAGACACACACCTAGACACACACCTAGACACACACCTAGACACACACCTAGACACACACCTAGACACACGCCTAGACACACACCTAGACACCTAGACACACACCTAGACACACACCTAGACACACACCTAGACACACGCCTAGACACACGCCTAGACACACGCCTAGACACCTAGACACACACCTAAACACACACCTAGACACGCCAACACACACACCTAGACACGCCAACACACATTACCTAGACACACGCCTAGACACACGCCTAGACACATACCTAGACACACACCTAGACACCTAGACACACACCTAAACACACACCTAGACACCTAGACACACACCTAGACACACACCTAGACACCTAGACACACACCTAGACACACACCTAGACACATACCTAAACACACACCTAGACACTTAGACACACACCTAAACACACACCTAGACACCTAGACACACACCTAGACACACACCTAGACACACACCTAAACACACACCTAGACACCTAGACACACACCTAGACACACACCTAGACACACGCCTAGACACACGCCTAGACACACGCCTAGACACCTAGACACACACCTAAACACACACCTAGACACGCCAACACACACACCTAGACACGCCAACACACATTACCTAGACACATGCCTAGACACACGCCAACACACATACCTAGACACACGCCTAGACACACACTTATACACACGCCTAGACACATACCTAGACACATGCCTAGACACACACCTAGACACGCCAACACACATTACCTAGACACATGCCTAGACACGCCAACACACATACCTAGACACACGCCTAGACACACACCTAGACACACACCTAGACACACGCCTAGACACACCTAGACACGTAGATACACGCCTAGACACACACCTAGACACACCAACACACATACCTAGACACACCCCTAGACACACACCTAGATACACGCCTAGACACATACCTAGACACACGCCTAGACACGCCAACACACATACCTAGACACACGCCTAGACACGCCAACACACATACCTAGACACACGCCTAGACACACACTTATACACACACCTAGACACGCCAAGACACATACCTAGACACACACCTAGACACACACTTATACACACGCCTAGACACATACCTAGACACCTAGACACCTAGACACAAGCCTAGACACACACCTAGACACGCCAACACACATTACCTAGACACACGCCTAGACACGCCAACACACATACCTAATGACGATATTGTGATGTGGTGATGACGATATTGTGATGTGGTGATGATGACTGTCGTGATCATGATGTGTCGATGTTGTGTTGGTGACGACGATGATGTTGTGGTGGTGGTGTTGATGTGGTGGTGGTGGTGGTGTTGATGTGGTGGTGGTGTTGATGTGGTGGTAGTGGTGGTGTTGATGTGGTGGTGTTGTTGATGTGGTGGTGGTGTTGATGTGGTGGTGGTGTTGATGTGGTAGTAGTGGCGGTGTTGATGTGGTGGTGGTCCGTGTCGCGGTGCAGGCAGCGGCATGACTCCGGGTGCCGCCGGCTTCTCTCCGAGCGCCGCGTCGGACGCCAGCGGCTTCAGCCCCGGCTACTCCCCGGCCTGGTCGCCCACGCCGGGGTCGCCGGGGTCACCGGGGCCCGGCTACATCCCCTCTCCCGGTACGCTCGCTTACACGCTCGCTCGCCTACTCGGTCCCCTACACGCTCGCTCACCTACACGCATGCTAACCTACTCGCTCACCTACACACTCGCTCACCTACCTACTCCTCACCCTCCGGAGCGTCGTCTAAACCCGGAGGATTCCACCTCCGTGCGGAGACTTTTGCGCGGAGAATCTTTGGCGTGTCGTGTGCTGAGTCTCCATCCCCCCTCCCTCCCCCTCTGCCCCCCCCCCCGCCCCCAGGTGGACCCCTTTCTCCCAGCTACTCCCCGACGTCTCCCGCCTACGAACCCCGCTCTCCCGGCGGCTACTCGCCCCAGAGCCCCAGCTACAGCCCCGCCAGCCCCAGCTACAGCCCCACCAGCCCCAACTACAGCCCCACCAGCCCCAGCTACAGCCCCACCAGCCCCAGCTACAGCCCCACGTCTCCCTCCTACTCGCCCACCAGCCCCAGCTACAGCCCCACCAGCCCAAGCTACAGCCCCACCAGCCCCAGCTACAGCCCGACCAGCCCAAGTTACAGCCCCACCAGCCCCAGCTACAGCCCCACGAGTCCCAGCTACAGCCCCACGTCTCCCTCCTACTCGCCCACCAGCCCCAGCTACAGCCCCACCAGCCCAAGCTACAGCCCGACCAGCCCCAGCTACAGCCCGGCAAGCCCCAGCTACACCCCGACCAGTCCAAGCTACAGCCCCACCAGCCCCAGCTACAGCCCCACCAGCCCCAGCTACAGCCCCACCAGCCCCAGCTACAGCCCCACCAGTCCCAGCTACACCCCCACCAGCCCCAACTACAGCCCGGCGTCTCCCAGCTACAGCCCGACAAGCCCGAGCTACAGCCCCACCAGCCCCAGCTACAGCCCCACCAGCCCCAGCTACAGCCCGGCATCACCCGCCTACTCCGGCGCGGGTTTTCCAGCCCGGTCGCCCTCCTACAGCCCCAGCTCCCCTTCCTACAGCCCCAGCTCGCCCTCGTACAGCCCCAGCTCGCCCAAGTACACCCCGACCAGCCCCAGCTACAGCCCCACGTCGCCCGAGTACAGCCCGGCCTCGCCCAAGTACTCCCCGACGAGCCCCACTTACACCCCGACGAGCCCCAAGTACTCCCCGACGAGCCCCACGTACTCGCCCACCACCCCCAAGTACACCCCGTCGTCGCCCACCTACACCCCCACGAGCCCCGCCTACACGGCGACGCCCAGCGGCTACTCCCCGCCCTCGCCCAAGTACTCCCCGACGAGCCCCAAGTACACCCCGTCGTCGCCCACTTACACGCCCACGAGCCCCACTTACACGCCCACGAGCCCCACTTACACGCCCACCAGCCCCACTTACACGCCCACCAGCCCCACTTACACGCCCACCAGCCCCAAGGGCTCCTCCTACTCGCCCACGTCGCCCGGCTACAGCCCCGCGAGCCCCACCGTCAGCCCGGAGGACAGCGACGAGGAGGAAAGCTGAAGGGGCGGCGGAGGCGGCGGCGGAGGCGGCGGAGGCGGCGGAGGCGGCGGAGGCGGCGGAGGCGGCGGAGGCGGCGGAGGCGGCGGAGGCGGCGGAGGCGGCGGAGGCGGCGGAGGCGGCGGAGGTGGATTTTCCGTCGCGCGTCGGTCGCCATCGGCCAGCTGATGCCGGGGGAGCGTCGGATTTGTGGTGTGGGGGGCGGTGGCGGGGGGTGGCGGCGGACGTGTGTGTACGAGCGTTGGCGCGGAATCGCGGCAATTAAAGTGACGGAGAGAAAAGAGAAAAAAATCGAAAAAGGAACGGCGGGCGGGGGTGGGTGGGTGGGGGGGGGGATTGTTTTAAGTGTAAGTAATTATAAAAAAAAAGATAATTTTTATAAGCGGGGGGGGGGGGCGGGTGGGTGGGTGGGAGGGGATGGATAGAAAGTTAGAAATGAACGGTGATTATCGTTGGGATTCATTTACCGCCACATTTTCTCAAATTGGCTTGTTTAAGCGCGCGGTGCCCTTATACAAATTAATAAAAATCAAACACCCGGGGTGGGGTGGTGGTGGGGGGGCTGCCGTATATATTTTTTTAAACCCCACCTTTGGAGCGTTCACCGAATTTCTAAAAAAAATGATTTTTTTTTTAGGTGGGTTGGGGTTCGGGTGGGGGGGGTGGTGTTTTTTTTTAAGAACACGAAGCCAACAGCGACGTCAACGCAACGGGAAAGCGCGCAAAGCGGTTTCCCCCCCCCCCCCCACCGTGTTGATGTTTGACGGGCTTCGGAAAGATTTTGGTCCATGGTGTAAAAAAGAGATAATGTTGGTGTTTTTAAATGGGGGAGGGGAGGGGGGGAGGGGGAGGGGACAGCCTGCCGCTTAAAATTTGGATCGGAGGCTGCCGAGTTGACGGAAACGAAAATTTCCCTCCCGCTTAACCCTGCACAAAATGGCCGACGCGACAAACTAGTGTTGCCGTGGCAACGGCAGCCATTTCACTAGGTGGGCGTCGACGATTTGACGTCGAGCGATTTTGTGCGTGTGTGTGTGCGCGTGTGCGTGTGTGCGTGCGTGTGTGTGTGTCTGCGTGTGTGCGCGTGTGTGTGTGGGGAGCGGTAGTGTTGTGTAGCGGGTTGTCGCAAAACCCGGGTCGGATTCCTGCTCGACAGCCAGCACCGGAAGCAAATTTTCTGAACCACTCCTCCCCGAGTACCTACCTGGTGTGTAAAAACATCGCCGTTGGGGAGACAAAGGCGGCCGGGAGCTGTGCCGGCCACCCACCCACCCACCCGTCCCCTCCTGCGGCTGTGCCGGGCTTCGAAGGTGCTCCTCGTTAACAGCACTTGCCCCGACAGCCTGTTTAGGCTACACAGAGGTGGGGGAGGGGGGGGGAGGGGGATCTTTTGTCTTTATCTTTGTTGAGGGTGTTGCAGCAGCAGCAGCAGCAGCGCCAACAACATCGGCAGCACGTGACGGCGTTTAGTGGAAAGAGACTCCTCCCACGTGCCACGTGACAAAATGGCCTCCGGGTACTGAACTGTGAGGTCACTCGGGGGGCCTTCAGCCCCCGTGTAACGGTGTGTGTCGTGTCGTGTCGCGTGTCGTGTCGCGTGTTGCGGTGCGTGCCACACGCTGCTCTCGAGGCGAAAGGAGCGTCCGGGTTGTTGGGAAGCGGCGGGGGTGGGTTTGGAAAATAAGTTCTGTCGAGAAATGTTGCCGTTTAGTTTTTGACGCCCTTTGAGTCTTTCGGTAAAGTCACAGCTCACATCAAGCACAAATGTGTTTTTAGATTGATGCGAGTTGCACTGAGGCCGGTGGAATAACAAAAACCAAGACCCCCCCATCGTGTAGCATTAACAGATTGTAGGGGCAAGTGTTGTGAGTAGCGAGCAGCACCTATAGACACACAGACAAAGGTCCCCCGTGTAGCCTCTAACAGGCTGTAGGGGCAAGTGCTGTGAGTAGCGAGCAGCACCTATAGACACACAGACAAAGGTCCCCCGTGTAGCCTCTAACAGGCTGTAGGGGCAAGTGCTGTTAGTAGCGAGCAGCACCTATAGACACACAGACAAAGGTCCCCCGTGTAGCCTCTAACAGGCTGTAGGGGCAAGTGCTGTTAGCGAGCGGCACCCTATGAAGGCCGGAACGGCACGCGAGGGGTTTGGTAGGCCAGCGCCACGCCCGGCCGCCTTTGTCTCCCCAGTGCTGGCGATGTTTACGCCACACCGCTACACCAGGTACTCATTTGCAGCCGAGTCGACCTAGGGGAGGCCCAGGTACCGGTTGATGTCATCGTCACTGGTTCGTGTTTGCCGTGAGCGGGAATCGAACTCCGGTCGCCGGGGTTCGTAGCGCTAACCGCTACTGTCGCTCCCCGTACGGAACAACGAACGCACGCACGCACACACGCACACGCACGTTATTGCTATTCAAAAATGTGTAACTTAACGAAAATAAGGAGGCGATTGGAGGTAATTGTTAGTGGCCGTTTGATTTTTCGCTATTGTTTAAAGCACCGCGCGAACCTCCTTGTGGGCTGTGATGTGTACACACACACTCACCCGTCCAACCCCCTTGCCATGTGCCCTACCGTTTGCTGCGTACAAACGCAGAACGTGTAATGGTCACCCCGTGGCCTCCATTTATAAATCGTCAGCGTTCATCCTACAAAGTCGCATCACCACAAGGGAGAGACGCGCAAACAGACGGGCATATTTGTGCTCGTATTGAAACGGCTGCTCGCTATTTGGGTCTGAAAACGCAATTTCCCTGTACAAGAACACGTGTTTAGAGCGGTATGGGTTGACCGGTATGGTCTAAATTTTGATTTAAAGCTTTCGTGACTGCAGCGATTCATATTATTGGTTCTTTCGGTAAAGTCACCACCGCGTAGAAGGGAAACAATAAAATAATAAAAAAATAAAACAATAAAATTCTCAAGACGTTTCGACTGTAACACAAACAGTCATCATCAGGTGTGAAAACCACAACAAGAAATATTTGAAAAAGTGGCGTTTTTTTAACGTTAGCACCACGTTGGTTTTTTTCCACACCTGATGATGACTGTTTGTGTTAGTCGAAACGTCGTGAGAATTGTATTGTTTTATATATATTTTATTGCTTCCCTTCGACGTGACTTTACCGAAAGAACCAAGAATACGGTATGGTGTAGTGTATAGCGTAGCGTGCAGTGCGCAGCGTACCTGTCAACCCCTTATCAGTGCCCTACCTTACTAAAGACCAATTTGGACCCTATTAGTCGCCGCGCCCCTAATAAATCTCGACGTTCATCCCACAGCGTCCCATCACAAGGGAGAGAAACGCAAACCAATAGACAAACAATGGCCCTTTTACTCAATTTCCCTCTACAAGAATACGGCTAAACTGTGTGGGTTGACAGGTATGGTATAGTGCGTAGTAGTGTATAATGTAGTGTATAGTGTACCTGTCAACCCCTTATCAGCGCCCTACCTTATTACAGACCGATTCGTACCTGATTGGTCACCCCGGTGCCCCTTATAAATCTCGACGTTCTTCCTACGAAGTCCCGTCACCACGAGGTATAACAACACACAAACGCAGACGTTTGGTTTTTGCCCGCATTTAAACGCCGTATGGACCTGAAAACGGCGGGGTGAGCCGTGTGGGTAGATGGGGGTCGAGGAGGAGGTGGTGGTGGTGGTGGGGTCGAGGTGTGGGTGGTGGAGTGGAGGAGTCGGCCACCTGCCTGGGGGTGTTGGGCAGTGAGTCTGGGGGTGATGGGGAGATGGGCAGTGAGTCTGGGGGTGATGGGGGTGATGGGCAGTGAGTCTGGGGGTGATGGGGAGATGGGCAGTGAGTCTGGGGGTGATGGGGAGATGGGCAGTGAGTCTGGGGGTGATGGGGAGATGGGCAGTGAGTCTGGGGGTGATGGGGAGATGGGCAGTGAGTCTGGGGGTGATGGGGAGATGGGCAGTGAGCCTGGGGGTGATGGGGAGATGGGCAGTGAGCCTGGGGGTGATGGGGAGAAACCCACCCACCCTTGCCACCCACCCACCCACCCCTTGCTGTGACTTTTGAAGCCCCACGAGGCTTGACCAATGGGGCCTTGCTGCGTGTCAAGCCCGTGGCTGGCTTGGGTCCATAACAACACCACAAACACACATTGGGATGGAATCAGCGGAAGTGGTGAATAAGACAACAAAGGCACCACCCACCCACCACCAACCCACCCACCCACAACCCACCCATCACCACCAACCCCCATCCTTTACCCCCCCCCCCCCCAAGTTTGTTTGCAGTGTTCAAGCAGCTTTTAAGCGGGCCGACGTTGCTTTGTTAATAATAATTTTAAAGTTGGTACAGCGGTTTGTGTTATTTTGTTTAGTTTATTTTAAATATAAATTTGCGGCTAGAGTGGTGGGGGGGGGGGGGGTTCCTCTCGATTCGACTTAGCCACGACTGCCGTGGGGTTTTCGTTGTTCTGTGGGGAGGAGGATGTTACTGAAGTCACGTGGATAGGTTCAACCTATAGGTGACGTCACGTCTAGGTGAAGTCACGTGGATAGGTTCAACCTTTAGGTGGAGTCACGTGGATAGGTTCAACCTATAGGTGACGTCACGTCTATGTAAAGTCACGTGGATAGGTTCAACCTACAGGTGAAGTCACGTGGATAGGCTCAAAGGAAAATTTGTATTTCTTTGAACCTATCCACGTGACTATAGGTAAAGTCACGTGGATAGGTTCAAATAAAATATTCTTTTTCCTTTGAGCCTATCCAGGTGACTTCACCTATAGGTTGAACCTAATTCTAGATTTAAAGCTTTCGTGACTGCAAGGATCCATACACTTTGGTTCTATTCTGTAAAGTCACGTAGGTAAAAAATAAAACAACAAAAATCACGTTTCGGCCACAACACAAGCGGCCTTCAGGTGAAGGGATCAGGCTGTCTCGAGGACAGCGCTGGAGTGAAACACAGCCACGCTCAGATTGAACCTATCCACGTGACTTTACCTAGACACGTGACTTTACCTAGACGAGACGTCACCTAAAAGTTGAACCTATCCACGTGACTTTACCTAGA